CCAGAAGAAGCTCCTGGCTCCTGGCTTCGATTGGCCCAGCTCTGGCCATTGAGCCATCTGGAGAGTGAACCAGTGGATGGAGGACCTCTCTGTCAATCTCTGTCTCTGTCTCTCTCTGTCTCTGTCTCTCTCTCTCTCTCTCCCTCTGTGCCTTTCAAATAAATATTTTTTTTAAAAAAGATCATTGTGTCCATTGTAGCATGTTGGACATGTTAGATAAGTAATATCAGATATAGGCCCAGCTCAAGAGGCTTCCATAACCTTGACAGCTCATGACAAGAACCTCGGGTGATTACTGGTGTCATAAATAAGAGTGTCATTGTTAAATCAACAACGGGAGTCACTGTGCACCTACTCCCCACGTAGGATCTCTGTCCTTAATGTGTTGTACTATGCGAATTAATGGTAAACTACTACTCAAACAGTACTTTATACTTTGTGTATCTGTGTGGGTGCAAACTTGAAATCTTTATGTAGTATATACTAAGTTGATCTTCTGTATATAAAGATAATTGAAAATTAATCTTGATGAAGAATGGGATGGTAGAGGGAGTGGGAGATGGGATGGTTGCAGGTGGGAGGGAGGTTATTGGGGGAAAAGCCTCTATAATCCAAAAGTTGTACTTTGGAAATTTATATTTATTAAATAAAAGTTGAAAAAATATACATAGGCCTAGTACTTCATAAATGTTTCTTATATCATTACATTCAGAACATATTATCTCATCTATTACAAATGCATGAGCTCAGCTGTACATACTGAATCTTCAAAGCTGACTGGGATTTTGCATTTAATGTAAAGAAATACGGCATTATTTAAGTATACTGCTCTTATTCACCACTGAGAGCTGCAAAGTTATAAGTTGTAGAAACACAGATCAAATATGTAAATCTCAATTTTCCTCTCTTTAGTAGTGGAAAATTCTCTTTGACAGAAAGAAATGCTTTCTTAACTTTTTAAAACATTTTTATGTAGAAATATTATTGAACTTACACAAGTGTTATAAGAACAACAAACTCCTGCATTCACCCAGCCCCATTTTACCATATTTGTTACTTTCCTTCTTCTCTTTACTTCTCTCATTCTCTCTTGAAATATTTAATAACTGCTGCATGGCCCTCCCCTCTCCCACTCCCTCTCCCATCCTGCCCTTCATCGAGTTTCATTTTCAATTACCTTCATATACTGAAGATCAACTTAGTATATACTAAGCAAGGATTTCAACAGGCTGTACTCACACAACCGCACAAGGTATAGGGTATTGTTTGACTAGTAGTGTTGTTTTTAAGTTTCATAGTAAAACACATTAAGGATAGAGATCCTACGTGGGGAGCATGTACCCAGTGACTCCCGTTGTTGATTTAACAATTGGCACTCTTATTTATGATGTCAGCAATCACCCGAGACTCTTGCTATGAGCTGTCTAGGCTATGGAAGCCCCTTGAGTTCACCAACTCTGAACTTGTTTAGTCAAGGCCGTATCACAGTGGAGGTTCCTTCCTCCCTTCAGAGAAAGGCGCCTCTCTCTTTGATGGCCTGTTCCTTCTGCTGGGGTCTTGTTCACCAGGATCTTTCATTTAGATTGTTTTTTTGCCACTGTGTCATGGCTTTCCATGCCTGTGCCAGCTCCCTGTTAATGTCTTACTTTGCTTGCCTTTCCTTTTTAAAAATATTAATATATTTAATATTTTATATATTTAATATATTTTAACATATTCATTCCTTCTCTGGACAGTTGCTTACCATGCTGTCTGCTTCCTCTGCTCCTAAAATCCTGATGATTAGGTGCCAGATATCAGAGATCTTTCTATCAACTCAGGGCCCTCTCTTCCACCTGTGCCAGCACCTTTGACTGAATAAACATTTCTTTTATTTTTTTATTTTCTAAAAGATTTTATTTATTTTATTTGAGATGTAGAGTTACAGACAGGGAGAGACAGAGAGAAAGGTCTGCCTTCCGTTGGTTCACTCTCCACATGGCTGCAATGGCCGGAACTGCGCCAATCGAAGCCAGGAGCCAGGCGCTTCTTCTGAGTTTCCCACACGGGTGCAGGGGCTCAAAGACTAGGGCCAGCTTCTACTGCTCTCCCAGGCCATAGCAGAGAGCTGGATTGGAAATGGGGCAACTGGTTCTAGAACCAGCGCCCATATGGGATACCGGTACCGCAGGCGGAGGATTAACCTACTGTGCCATGGCGCCGGCCCCAAACATTTCTTTTACACACCAGAGAACTGGAAACATGTGTCCTCTCACCAAACATACACACACACACAGAAATACACACACCATATTCCTTTAAATTTAATCTAACTCATCCTTTCATTATCCACCTAAATTATTGTAGTCAAATTGGTAAATATACATTTTTAATTACAATTCAGAGAACTCTTTCCTGTGGTAGGATGTCTACTGGCAATTAGAAAACTTCCATAGAGTCAGCTTAAAATCTCTTTTTATATTGCCTGTCACGGGGCTTTCTTCAACCTTCCTTTGCTCAACTAACTCTATGCTGTTCAAACATATTTCAAAGAATTGGTTGAGAAGAATTAAATGAAACAGAATATTAAGGGACAATATAAAGTATAAAAAGCTAAAAATGAAATATCGTTTTTATTATAGTTTTCAAGATTTTCTTCACGTTCATTTAAGGCTCCAATCATGCACTAGATCTACAAAAAGCAATTGGAAGAAAAGGACAGTGTCTCAACAAAATTTTAAGATACTGAAAGTACATTTGATTTCCTCCAGGTACAGCCTAGAAGCCCTGCATCTGACAATGATGATCTGTCTGGTTCAGGAACTCACTGAAAGGAGAAAACGAGAAGAAAGAAACAGAGAATCATGTATGTATATATATAAAGATATATACATATGGTTGGCCTTGACTTCACTTTTTTAAATGTCTCTCAAAAGGAGGAGGAGGAGGAGGAGGAGGGGGTAGAGTAGGAAGAGACTATAAAATAGACTATTCCTAGGTCTGGCAGTTCTGACTCAACACTCTGAGGATTTCTTATATAAAGGACCCAACTCTACCATCACTTCTACAGTATTCTTTATGACCCGCGTCTTTTGATAAACGTGGAATGTTAAGTTGCTTGTTTTTCTTCTCTAAACAAAGAGCCCAAATGCATTGCTTTTGCTTTGCTTTCTTTAATGCCACTATTGTGAGGGGATTCACTAAGCAAGCTAGGGGAATAGCATGTGGATATTGAATACAAAGAGGCAGCAGGTTCCAAATACAGCCTCCAAAAGATGAGGCTGTCCCCACACTCTGCATGGGATGGAATGAAACTGTGTTTTGTCCAAAATTAAAAAGCCTGACCTGCGGGTCCTTAGAGGAGAAAAAGATTTCCTGAGAAGGTGACATCTGGATTCTCTCCTGGCTTCTGCTACTACTGCTGTTCTTACCATCATTTTGTATATTCCTATGTTTCTGCTGCAACTGTCAGAATTTACAGTTTGAATACATTTTATCCTTCCCTCTTGCACAAAATAGTTTAGGGGAAGGGGAAGCTTATGATTTCTAAACGGATATAGCCATCTTATTTTAAAAGGGTTTAAAGGTCCCACCATTTCTTCAAGAAATTTTAATAACCATATAGAAATAGCCAGCTGGCTAATCCTGAGAATATCCCTCCTCCCTGTTCATTTTATAGAAAGATCCTGTGGTCAGGAAATATAAAGCTTTCAACACATTGACCACAGCTAGGATTATAGCCTCATATGGTAGAGTTTTTCTCACTGTCTTTTTCTGGGTGTCGGCAATATCCAGCCAACCCTCTCACGGGTGTTGAAGTCACCTTCACCCTTCTCACCAGGGAGAACTTCAAGATTGACTGCACTAATGAGGGAGTCTGGGATTGAGACATTACATGTAAATCCATCAGTGTGATTAAACTTAGCATGCACACTGTGTGTGCACAGTAGTTTCAAAGAGCCTGGCTATTAAATGGCTTCATATTTTTATACCTTTTGGCACCTTCATAAAAGGACTTAAGGAAACAGCATATTTCCTCTGCTGCTACAGATGGACTAAGGCAAATCTATGCTAAGAAGCTATAAAATAATGTGAAGCATCTTAGCCTTATTGATGAATTGATTCAGTAGCTCTACAGAATACTCAAATTTATGGAAATATTTATTAGTAAGATTATTTCATATGTATAGGCAGACACATGGTGAAAAAATATAGGAAGTTACAAATTAAGTAAATTCCCCTTAATTCACTCATATAAATTGAAATTTCTACTCTACCAAAAGTCTGAGTAAACAGATTTGCCTTCACCATATATATGAAGAAAAGACCTACTAAACAAATCACCAGCATAAACAAAGATTACAAGGATAAGATATAAACTATTTATGAAAATACACTGTTTTTAATACCCTCACTGTACTTGAAGAGTATTCCTTTACACACTAATAATTAAGAGTATAATTACTAAGTATTCTTATGTATTAATCAAAGTATACATCCAGAGTCCTATAAAAGAAGTCTTACTGCAATTCCATTTCTTTCAGAGACTTGAAAGAGAAAGCTGCATCCCTTTTAAATATTCTACAGTTCAATCTTCTCACAAATGTATGCCCATCTTTGTCTAGCTAATGTAAATTAGTAAGTTGTCAAAAGATAAAGAAAGCTATACTGAATAAATATGCTTCAATTTTGCTTTTCAAATACTTTAACAAAGCTCAGTGTTTGCATATCTGTATGATGTGTAGGGACATATTATGTGAGGAATTAAAAAGTTTGTGAAAAATGGAATTACGTGACAGGCTTATTTTGTAGTAAAAGGATTTGAAACACATGCTTATTAGGAGTTTTCATAAAGTTTGTGAAAAGTGTATATTACCAAAAACTATAGACTTCAAAAGACTTCAAAATTTTGTGTATCAAAACCTGTATCTTTTAATTTCATTTTCTCACAAACTTTTTGAAGTTCCCTTACATTTATAATGTAAGTGTGACAGTATGGGATGACAGAGCATTGCACTTACCAGATCTGCCACTATCCTGCAAGATGAGCTTGGGTCTAACCTTCCTCACCTGTAAAATCAAGGGAAGTGCTTTGAACGCATCCTACAACTCAAATTTATTGCAAGGATCAAATCAGATGATATCATCTAAACAAATAAAAGTACTTTATAAAATGAAATGCAGGGGCTGAAGGTGTGGCATAGTGGGCTAAGCCTCCGTCTGTGGCACCAGAATCTGATATGGGTGACGGTTCAAGTCCTGGCTGCTCCTCTTCTGATCCAGCTCTCTGCTACGGCCTGGGAAAGCAGTAGAAGATGACCGAAGTCCTTGGGCCCCTGCACCCCTGTGGGAGACCCAAGAGAAGCCCCCGGCTCCTGGCTTCAGATTGGCTCAGCTCCAGCCATTGTGGCCATCTGGGGAGTGAACCAGCAACTGGAAGACCTTTCTCTCTGTCTCTCCCTCTCTCTGCATATGACTCTACCTCTCAAATAAATAAATAAAATCTTTAAAGAAAAATGATGGTGCCATAAAAGGTAGTTTTTTTTTAAAAAATGAAATGCAAATAGGTTACAATTATTTTCTCTATATAATGATCATATTTGATTTAGAAGAAAATGTTGATGAGACATATACTAAAATATTGATATGCATTTTAAGTTCATTTTTTAAAGTTTTTCATTTATTTTCAATTTATGTGAAAAATAAAAAACAGAAATAGAGACAAAGAGAGATTTTTCAACAACTGGTTCACTTCCCAAACAGCCAAGGTTGGGCCACAGCAAATCCAAGAACCCAAAGTTCCATTCAGATCTCCCATGTAAGTCACAAGGACCCAAGTACTTGAGGTGCCACCTACTACTTCCCATTGCATGCATCAGCAGGAAGTTAGATTGGAAATGGAGGAGTCAGGCACTACAACAAGGGATGCAGAGATACCAAACAGTGACTTAACTGATGTACCTCACACACACACAATCATTATTACAAAAATTTATGATTATGAAAAATAGAATATGTCTAGGAAACTAGGGTAAATAAGTTGAAACAATCTATAAACATTTATTCTACTTACCACCTAGAATGCAAAGCTATGGAATAAACCACAAGCATTTTAGCAATTTTCAGAAATTTTTTATATTTTAAAATTCTTTGTGATTTGTTGTGTCAATAGGTAGGGTTTAAATGAAAATGTCATAAATGTACTATGTTTGGGAAACATAGGATAGGCCCCTTCTAATGACAGATAAATGATATGGCCAATTCATGACCCTTGCAATTTGGCTAATTTGCTCCAAAGCAGCTGGACATAGTACACAATTATTTGCTGCACTGTGATGCTTCTTGTTTAGCTAACAGCTAATCCTAGATAGATTTGCAAATTCAAGAAGTACATACTTACTTTCACGTACAAAAGACTATAAATTTAACAAGGTAAAGGACCAGCTCTGTCCTGTTGACTGATATATGACTGGATTTTAGAACTCAGTGACTGCTCAGTAACAATCTGTTGAGAGATTGGGTAGAATCTGTTGAATGAACAAGCAACTATTATATATGTTGTGTTTTATGTAAGTTCATCAAGACATGGTCTTTACACTTAAACTTTTTAAAACCAAGTGGCCAAAGAGCCAGACTTTTAAAGAACCACAGGACAATGGAGTAAGTACCATGCTATGAACTAAGGTGCTCTTCCAAGAATATAAAGTGTAGTTTTGCTATCCCACTTACACATTAGAATCACTTGGGGATCTTCTGAAACAACACCAGTGTCTCAGGTCAAAAAAATCAGAAAGGATGGCATCAGGGTACCACTGTTTTTTAAAACCCTTCCTAGGTGATTCTAATGTGTAGCCATAGCTGAGAATCATGGGCAGGGAAGTTAAAAAGGAAAAATTACAATGGGATGTAAAGGAGTTAGGACAGAAACTTGCCTCAGATGAGGTGATATTTATTCTGAGCCGGTATGTCCTTATGATTCGCCAAGCCTAGAAAACTGTTAGATATCTTCCCCTTCTGTAGTTCCAACAGTGTCTCCTCTCTAGGAAATATGAACTACCTTCCCCCCAAACATTGTTCTTTCCAATACTTTCAAGTCCTAAATCCCAAGGACTTAGAGTGGCATCAGAGTCTTGAGTCCCAGATCACACCTCACTTGGGAGAAAGAGTCAGTATTTCGCCCAGGAGCAAGACTGGAAGAAAATGGCCGGCACTGCGGCTCAATAGGCTAATCCTCCACCTAGCGGCGCCGGCATACCAGGTTCTAGTCCCGGTTGGGGTGCCGGATTCTTTCCCGGTTGCCCCTCTTCCAGGCCAGCTCTCTGCTGTGGCCCGGGAAGGCAGTGGAGGATAGCCCAAGTGCTTGGGCCCTGCACCCCATGGGAGACCAGGAGAAGCACCTGGCTCCTGCCTTCGGATCAGCGCAGCACGCCAGCCGTGGCGGCCATTGGAGGGTGAACCAACGGCAAAAGGAAGACCTTTCTCTCTGTCTCTCTCTCTCTCACTATCCACTCTGCCTGTCAAAAAAGAAAGAAAGGAAGGAAGGAAGGAAGGAAGGAAGGAAGGAAGGAAGGAAGGAAGGAAGGAAGGAAGGAAGGAAGGAAGGAAGGAAGGAAGGAAGGAAGGAAGGAATACTGGAAGAAAATGGAGAACAAGGAACTTTTGATTCCAAGTGAATGAATTGCCTGACATTACCTCTTTTCATGGAGTCCTTCACATGTGATTGTATCCAAGGGTGCGGAGTTTCAACATTTAATACAGGCTTGCAAAATCTGAGAAGCAAAGGCATTATTTTGATCTGTCATAAGTTTCAATCACGTTTACACTTAGCTAACTTACAAATTTCTATTTTTAATAATACCTGTACAACATGTTCCACACCACTGGATGAGAAACAGTGGTGTTCTTTATTTTATGGTCCTGAACATCCAATCCCAATCAAGTTGGAGGAATGATTTTCATTTTCTTCTTACATATAACACCATGATAGCAGCATAATGCCTACTATAAAGGATCTGTTTTTTAAAATATTGTACTTTAGTCCTACGGGGGTAAGAATTTTTTAAGGTCTCTTACTTAAGATGGAATGTGGTAATCATTAAAGTTTTGAAAGACCATTTTCCCCGTAAATAAATATATATTTTTACACAATATAAGAAATAGTAATTCCCTGATCTGTTTCTTGACAACTTCACCCAAGATCTTCCTTAATGTTTGTAATGCCTTTGTGTTCAAAGTTAATGCAATGACTTATTTGTACAAAGTGTTATTTTGCCACAAGATGGTACTAAAAGATTTTCAGTTAAAAAAAAGCTAAAGAAAGATATATAGATAACAAATCTGACATTAATATGTAAACTAAAAGTCCAAGCCCTAATATCCATTGTAGAGGAAACAGTACTCTGGACCTGGTTCTGCCAGGAGTTACATGCATGTGGCTGGACATACCATTCTCCAAGCATTCATAAAGTGAAGTGATCAGGCTGAAGATGTTTAAAAAAAATTTCCTTGCTAACATTGTGTGCTGTTTTAAAATCAACATATTAACCTCCGCCTCAAAACATATCCAAAGCAAGCAAGAGAATATCCCAAAGTGAGAAAAAGCTACACATGTCCTAGTGCTTCTAATCTTTTGTAGATGCCAAAATAAAAAAATTGCCTGAAGTTGGATCTCACCATACCTGTGGATAGGCACCTTGACATATCACTCCAAGCATCTTAGCACTGAGGCAGTTATACCTGATCAAATTATGAAGAATCCCAAAATTATACATTTTAAAATTAAAATTATTTCTATATATAACTTTATTTTATATATATATATATATGTATATGTAATTTTTCATGAGCATAGGGAACCCTAAGGACTTTAATGGTCCCGGAAACTTTTCTACACATCTATTGTTCATCTAAATGAAAGAACCAGAGCACATGTGCCCTCTTTCTCTGTGTGGGGATAAAATGAAGAGGTTGCTAGGCAGATGAAGGCAACAAACAAAAGGTACTGTTTTAGGCCTATAATACTTATTCATGAACAATAAATCAATGAGCAAAAAAAGAGACATGAGTAGAATGACAGGGAATGTCAGACCTAAAGAGAACATACTTTCAAGCCCACTACCAACAGACCCAACAGGTGTATTCAGCTCAAATGCATACTTACAGATCTAACCAGAGCCTCAGAGGATTCATGATCAGTGTTGCCTGTGTAAACTTGGAAAAAGTGATTGTGGGGGTGGCATAGACCCTTCTCTTATGTTAACGAGGTTTTAAAAATCATCTACAGGGTCTATAAACCCTTTGTTATATGCCTTACCTAACCAGGTACCTTCGGACCCTCAGACTTGTCAGTGAATCAGCTGGGTAGAAAAGGAATATACCATGCATTTGATTGGCATGGTGAATTATATTATTAAACCAACTCTGGGTATGGATGATGGCAGGTCCAAAGGAGAATTAAAATCACCCAAGTCTTCCCCACAGCTGAGAAGGGCCACAAAGGACTTAACTGATTATAAGGTTAGAAATTATGTTTTCAAGTTCCCATCTGGAGGCATGTTTGTTTCTTGCTGTGTAAGTTTGCTCCTGAGTTCTTCAATGGCCTGTTTTTGAAAGGGTACGTCTGAAACAAATGCCTCTGTCTTTGGGACTTAAAAAAAAAATCACTGAAAACAATGTAGGGATATAAATGTCTGTGCCCACAGCCAAGATAAAAAATGCAAAGTCTGGGCCACCTTGCCTTTAATTTTCTAACTGCTGTTTTGTAAGGCTGTGTCATGCTTCTCAGTTCAAACACGCTTTGGCTCTTTATTATTCATGGACCTTTTTCTCAGTCAGTGGTGTTGAATAATAAAACAGCCCAGGATCAAATGGGCCAATTCTCCACGCCTGACACCAACTGCTACTGTTCGCTGGGCTCTGCCAAGCGTTGCCTCTGATAATGAGTGGGATTTGGTTAAACAGTAAATTAATGAATAATGAAATATCCAGGTTGATCAGTTAGAGAGCACGCTTGCTTTGCCCTGGGCTAAATGCTTGGGGCAGAAATTACTCTCAAACGGCACTTGCCTGGCTGCTGGTCTGGATAACTATTTTACAGCCTATTGCTTGACAGAATGCTAGGGAGGGGGGAGTCAGTGGGGAAGAGAGAAGGAAGGACAGAGTTATTAACAGCAAAAAAGAGACAGAGAGAGAGGAAGAATAACCTAGTTATCACCTTGTAGGTTTCTAAACGGCATGTGTTAGAACAAAGTCACAAATATGATCTGGAGAAGTCACAGTTCCAAAACTCCCAACACATGTTTAACATCAAGGAGAAATGATGAGTGAAAACAGTCTTCTGTGTGTGCCTGTGCACATATGTGATTAAATGTAGAGCGATTCAACTGCAAACTCATGTTTCCTTCTACACATTCAAGTGATGACATGCAGGGAAGACATCCAGTATCCAGTTGACAGGAAAACTCCACCTTCATTTTAAGGGCTCATGGTCTGGTTCTTAGACAGACCCCCTTCTCCAAATATTTGAACAAAAAAATTAATGGTTTTTCCAAATGATTTCCATTAAGAAAAAGTTTCCTTATAACTGACACTCTGGGAGATGGATGCACGGATAGATGGATGGATGGATGGATGGATGGATGGATAGATAGATAGATAGATACAGTGATACAGCAATACAGCAATACAGTGATACAGTGATGAGATATTTTGTCACTAAACCTTAACTTCACCAAGTTTTAAATTGTCACATAGTTTCATGCACATACCAGAGATCTTCAAAAAGTTCATAGAAAATACCTTTCTTGAAAAAAACTATGCATAGATTTTAAAATCTTCTGCTGTTGAAATACTTACTTAAGGTATACTAAGCTGATCTTCTGTATATTAAGATAATCGAAAATGAATCCTGATGTGAATGGAAGGGGAGAGGGAGTGGGAAAGGGGAGGGTTGTGGGTGGGAGGGACGGTATGGGGGGGGAAGCCATTGTAACACATGAGTCGTACTTTGGAAATTTATATTCATTAAATAAAAGATAAAAAAAAAATCTTCTGCACCAAAATAAATTTATTTTTAAATTCCATCTTCGATGAGCTTTTTGAAGATCTCTGTCTATAGAATAGGTTTGCTCATTTAAGGTCAGAAATATGTCATTTACAAAAAAAAAAGCTTTGGATCATCAAAAACACACAGCACGAACTGAGAAAATGTGTTATTTTACTTTCAGCATTTGCTTTGGAAGTAAATTTCTGTAATTGTTTATCTCTGGAATATCTTATTCTTTCAGATCTTTGATTCCTTTCTATGAACTCAAGGTTATTGGACTTCCCAGTTTTGCACATGGAAGCCTGAACCTTTTTTAATAAATTGATCAACATGCAGTAGGTGTTTGTGTCCTATCAAATTGTTTTAGTTTGGTTTGATTTGGGGTTAGTTTGTTTTCAGGTAAAAGAGAGAGGAATGCTCTCATAAAATTGGTGGAAAAGTGAGAACATGTTCAGAAATCTAATTTAACAGCCTCACAACTGAAAGTGAGTCCAGAACAAGGGGAGGGAGGTGGATGTTATCTCCTTTCCCTGTTGTAGAAGTGACAAACGATAAGATTGTAATTTAAAAAAAAAAGGTGCCCATAGATGAATAAAGATGGAGAAGAGAGGAGCAACAGGAGTCACCTATAGCTTCAATGTGCATTATGACGACACTCCATTCATTCTTTGGATCTGCAAAGCAATAAGTCTTAGTAGATGTCATTCTTCTAGTTTTGCCTGCAAAGCAGTGTCCTAGACAAAGATTTAACCTCTCCACATTGATACCCACTCACCTCCAAGAAAAAATAAAATGTTCTAATTGTCTTTATTACTTTCAGACATTGGCCACCAAACACAGATGTTCACTATTGAGAATTAAAGGAAGGGTAAAAGGTCACAGGGACCCAGATCAGCTTGATCCTGCTTTGTGTTATTTGGTCCCATTGTCTTGAATGGGCATTATCTTAGAAGAAAAAAAAGAATATTTAGATTGGACTTAGTAAAAACTAAGAAATCATTCGGTGGACCCATTTTGCTAATAAGTCACAAGTCTATGGCCTTATTTATCACATCTCCAAAAAAAAAAAAAAAAAGAAAACGAAAGAGATTGCATGAAACAACCTATAAAAAAAAAAAAGTAAACCCTGCTTCTGCCTCAAATCTTGATAGTTCCCTATCTTCAAGAATCCCTGCCACAAAGAACTCTACCTTCAAGTCAAAAGCCCTAAAGCCTAAGAAATGGGGGAGAAAAAATCCTTCTCCTTAACATAGGGGTTTCTCATGGCAAAGAAAATTCACACTGATGACCACTGATTCCTGGTGTCTTTCTGTGTGTACGTAGCCTGGATATTGAGAGCTCCCTTATGATGCTACCATGTACACATACACAGCTCTAACTCCAACCTCCCCAAAAGTTATCTCCAAAATCACTTGGCAGAATCATCTTTCAGGGAAGATAACCCATACAGAAAACTCATCCTGGTCCAAAACGGGTATTGGGATCTCGAAGTCAGCACTGCCATTTTTTGGTTCACACGTGTGTTCTGTGTTTTTAATGAAGGCTAGCTCATGGAGCGCTGAGGTTCGGATTTAGGCTGGATTGGGTTTTCCGGGCTTTTTCTGTAACGCCTACCTGCCGCTTTACAGACCTAGAACAAGTCCTCGCCCGTTTAGGAGTGAAGTCCAACGCTCGGTAGAAACCACCTAAAATCCAATTTCTTCAGAAAATCACGAGTCCTACTCTCTTTGCCACCCTCCAGCCGCTAGCCGCAATCTGGCGCCTCGGAGCTGCCGGCCTGGGCCTCTACGTGCGATTCCATCGGGACCTCCCCGCTGACACGGTGAGTGCTAGGATTCATCGGTTCCACTCGATCCTCCACCCAGTCCACGCAGCAGATGAGTTACACATAGAGAGTTTCTACCGGGGTAAGGCTCGTCTGACTTACATGCTCAGTCCCAGAGCAGCTCCTCTTCCCACGCCTCTGCACCCCACTGCTCAGATGCCAGCTGCTTCTCTCCAGCCTGTCATGAATGTCTGCACCAAGCAAGACATTTGGCTGTTAAGGGGAGCACACCCTGACCCCCACCCCGGCTTCTACGCATCTATGCCATGGCCATGCCCTCTGCTCCCAGTTAAGTAAATGGCTGGGCCAACGATACCAGCCAGTGACACCTGACAGCCACATCTCCGAAACTTCGCTAGCACCTGCGCAAACAGGCACGTCCGGGACGTTAACACCTAGCGGTACAGATGACTGCCAAAGCTGCTTCCCTGCGGCCTGGGCAAGTCACGCTTTGCTAAGGCCACTGGACATTATGCAGCTTTCAAAAAAAAATGTAAAGAGCATTTTTATGCAGAGGCCTCTCTGGGCAGCAGGTGTGACCCCTATTTGGGCCTGGACGCCCTCCCGCCAGCCCCGCACCCCCCCCCCCCCCATTTCAGCTCCAGAAGGTTGCGGCCCACTGGAGAGCAGAGAAAAGGCGAAAAGCAGGGGTGGGAAGGAACGAGTAAGTTTCCAACAAGTGGGCGAAAAACCGCCGCCTGACCTTGCCAGCTTGTGACCAGCGTGAAATGTGTTGAACTTGTGTGACAAAACCGCTTTTCTCCATCTCCGTGGATGTCGTTTGCAAAAATAAATTAATAAACGCTACCTGAGCTGCCGCCGCCGCCAGCCGTTTGCAAGCGCCGCTCCCTAACCCCGTGGGCGCTCCCCCGCAACTCCGGCTGACGTACCGCACCCTGGGCAGGTGCGGCGGCTGTGGAGACGCCCTGGGGAGCCTCCGCGCGTGCGTGGGTTCTCGCGCGCGCGCGCGCGCGCAATTTTATTGACACCCAGCTGGGCAATCCAGGGGAGTGCGCGTAGATGAGGGCTGGCTGCGGACGCCGGGAGCGTCGACTTTACGCAGGCCCAGACAGCGCGCACGTGGTACGTGCTCCTCGGTAGCGCGCCCACTGCTATGCTGGTGTGGAGTCTGCAAATTACTGTCGGTAGTTGAGCCCTGGAAACCTGGGGCGAGCCAGTGGGAGGGCGCCAACCAGTGACCTGTGGGAAGGGCGTGGAGGGACCCAAGCCGGGCCAGTGAACGCCGAGAGATGTTTGACCTCATCTTAAAGGAAGCCGGTGGGGTTATTTATGAGGCTTGATTTAAAAGTAGAGGCTGCCAGGGAAGTGAAAAAGGAGCTCACCCCGAGCTATGAGAGGAGATACAGACGCAAGAATGCTGTTTATGACCGTATAAATCAACGCAGAGCTTGTGATGGGAAATAGTGAGAGTTTGGGATACAGACAAGGAAACAAAGTAAAGAAGGAAAGATGAGTTTTCGCCCTCCTTTTTCTATGCCACCCCCACCGGCACGCAGTTTCTTCCTTTCCTAGGAGTCCACGATCCAGTGGGGAGGAGGGGAAGCACGCAAGCCCCATCTCAGGGTCGGGGCTGCCTGGATCTTCCCCAAGTTTACACGAGGATCGTTGGAGGACTGGGGAATACACGTGAATAAACAGCTTGGAAGATTTATGGGATGGAGTTCAATTTTATAGGACTATATTTATAGAGCTAGCACTGGCTCACTTATAAATAGATTAATGGGAAGCTAAAATTAATGGACTTGTGAGCTACACGTTTAATTTCTGAGGCTTCAACATGACAGACAACCCCCTTCCCAAGTCCAAGCGTGGAAAGCAACTCTTGCCCGGGAGCTGTAAGCGCCCTCAGGAAGGGACGTGTCCCTCCGGGTCAGCCACCCTCTGGTGGTTCCTGGTTCTGGCGCCGGGAATCCCTGGGGAGGGAACCCACGGAGCTGTTAATTGCAAATAAAGAAAACTGATGTGGCCTCAAAAAAAAAAAAAAAAAAAGTCTCCTCCTAGCACTACTTTTAATCAGGCTCTTAGTCCACTAATACCTGCTGATGGTGGGTTTCTGGGGTATAGTTAGCGACGCACCTGGGCTGCCAGTCTCAATGGCAGGCAGGGATGGCGAGATACCGAGATACTCAAGGCTCTCTCTCACTGGGCAGGTCAAAGACCCGGAGATTCTAGCTGTAGTTCTTTCCTTATTCCCTCCAAGACTCATAAAACAGTAGCAAAGGGACTAAGGAGCTGTGAGAAGCAGCTCCAGGCCCAACTGCAGCTGTGATAAGCTGTCTCCAGCCCCCAACTTCTTTTCCTTCCCTTTTGAATTCTTCCTTCTAGGTCTTTCTTCCAGTTTTTTCCTCAAAGCTAGAGGCCTGCAGGACATTGGGTTTTACCTGATACAAGTAAAACCTTGGACCCTCTTTTTGCCAAATGATGTGGGAGGGGAGTGATGCTCTGGAGTTTACCTGTGAGATAATCTATTGCAAATATGTTTATGCAGGGTTAGTGCTAACCTTCTGCAAAAAAAAAAATTTTATAATAATAACTTGTCATAGGTTATGGAAATAACCCATCAGTCCCTTGGAATAACCCACACTCTGCAAATCAAATGTAAAGGAAACATTGTAATAATCTAGCCAGAGACTAAAATCGGCATATGTGTGCACACACACACACCCACACATATATATATTCTGGCTAACTGGATTGCATGCCCTCATATTCACACTTCCCTTGGTTTTCTTTGCTTCCTTGCTTCTACTTCTCTCTTTTTTTTTTTTTCCTTTCAACTTTTCTTTGGTTCCTTTGTTTATAGAACTAGCTGTGATACCAAACTTTTTTCATCAAAAAATAAGACAAGAAGGGGGAAGAAAACCTCACACAAAACAGATTCTATTGGCCTGTCCCTTCTACCTTTCCCTATTGGAAAGTTCAACTAGAAAAGATTGAAATGAAAAACAGAAAATTGGTATAGGGTCATCAAGATTTAACATTTCTGATTCTCATTAAGTGTATATACATGTTGCTGTTGCTGGGGTTTCTTTGGTTTTGTTTTGGTTTTGTTTTTTAGAGTAAGACTGAGGTAGTTAAGGATCTTAGGAGGTCTATGTTTTACAGATAAAGACCTTGAGGCCCCCAGAGAAGCAGTGACTCATCAAACTGTATGACATCTTGGATGACTTTGCTTTCCTGACCTCAGGGAAGACACCCAAGCCTTGGGATAGAATACAGATTGAGCTGATGTTTGATCTCTGCAGCCCATAACGGCTCGGCTACAGCCCATTAACCCAAGGGAGAAAAGCTGGCTTCCCTAGGCAGTCTCTGAGGTTAAAGTAAGAGACAAATTCCCAAGTCATGTCCACCTCTTTCCTCTTCTTGGTCAAGGGAGCTTTTTCTTCTTTTGTGTATGAGTGTTCAGTCCTTCAGTTTGCCAGTTACCCGTCTTGGTCCCAGTGCAGGAGCCTACAGACTTCTCTCCTACTGCATCATCTCTTTCTGGAAACACCACACCAGAATGCCACCCTGCTAGCAGTGTCCAGGTAGTATCATCTTTGACTTGGACTCGGAGTTCTTGAGTTTCCTGAGAAGTAAATTTAATCCCTGATTTTTAAAGGGCAAAATACACCAAAAGATGCAGTTAACATGAACTTTTATTGCAAATCTGGTTAGAAATTGGAGAGAAGAGTGTCATTTTGGAACTTAAAAAGTCAAAAACACCTCCTAATGAAAATAAAAGTGTTCATTTTTCTAAGAAGCAAATTTATTGTACTTCTTTTGGAATGAAAATGCTGTATGTACCTTGGTAAGAGGAGACAAAAAGGAAAAAAGTTTCTTGCTATATTTTTTCCATCTGTAAAATTAAGCAGAATCCATATTTAAGAAACTGAAGATGAAAACACAACAAAAACACAACAATCTTTTTATTTATGTAAATCAGATCAACACTTGACAATAAACCAATTTCTACCCATTACCATAACAGCTTGTCTATAAAGAACAGAAAAATTCAGATAGGATTCTACCTAGAGTCAAGCGGTTTTTTTTAACCACCCATTCACAGAGGTATAGGTTCACAGATAAATAATCCCAAACTACTTGCTCGCCATATTTACACATTCCCATTAAATTAAGCATAAATAAATATATACAAACTGAACACGGATACCCTCCAGAGCTCTTCTCATGAAGAGCCAATAGATTGATATTTCTCGATTGTGTGGCAAAAAACAATGCTTATGAATTAGAGACTAACTCAAAAGGGGAGTCCATTTTGGCATTTGAGGAAGAATCGGGTTCTTTCTATTTTTAAAGACAACAAAACGACTTTTAGTGTTTCTTTTAAAAAAATCCAATAATTTAATACACATCGGCAAAGGAGGGGGAAGGCTGTTTGGGCTCTTGAGGCAACATCAGATGGTTTAGGGTTGTTATTTCCCTTCCACATAATGTATTACAAGTACAGGATATCAGATGTGATGACAAATTCTCTATAAACACTCTTAACTAGGAATGCATTGTACCGGAGGAACAGTGTGCAGATAAGTTCAAGGTTTTGGGTTTTCCATTCGACAAAAGTTATTTCATAGGATATATAATTGCTGGAGATAAAGTGGTTTCCTTGGCCAAAGAAAACAAAAAGTTAGGTCTTTGAATGCCTCTTCGGCTCTTTCTGTGGGAGTGGAGAAAGTTGAGGATGTGGAGACTAGAAAGAAGGAAAGAAAATGCAAACTACTTGGCAGGAGGGAAGAAGAGAAGTTACTTCCCCGGCTGGGGGAGAAGGTAAAGGTCCTCTGGATTGCGGAATCCGCCCCCAGAACAGCTCTTTCCTCCCGCCTCAAGGCCCACAATACGTGGAGCGGGAGGTAGCAGAACCCGGTCTGGAGATGGTTAGAACCGCGGAGTGTGAGGGCAGCGGCGGCCACATCCTGACTCCTGCTTGCTATCTTTAGCTATTTTGGTTTGGGACCAAGCGTTTAGGAGGGGGCTTGGAGAGTGGATAAAATATAGAAAGAGTGCGGGGGGGGGGGGGAGTTGCAATTCACCTGTTTGGTTTGAAAACAAAGCTCAAAGGGGCTTGTCTTAAACGTTTCCCTTGACTTAAAAGGAAAACTCTTGCGTTAATCCTACTGTTTATTGATTTATAGGCCCAAGGAAACCAAATCTTTTAATAACTCAATTATCAGATAAACGTAGCGGGCCGGGCTAAGGAAAGCAAAGGGGCGGCGGTACTACTTGAAAGGAGACGTGAGGGATGGATGGGGGCAGTGTGCTTCCCGCGCGCAGGGAGTGGGGGCGGCGGAAGCGCGCTGGGGTTCTCTCTGTGGCTGGGTGGGGCATGAAGGGAACGCACGAATGAGGGCGTAGGGCCACGAAGGGAACCTGCACAGCCAATTACGACAATTCCCATCCATCTCCCCGTTTAGGAGCGCAAGGGCGGGAAGAGTTTCCGTCCAGGCGGCAGGGGATAGGGAGCAGGGGAGTTTCCGATTGCTTGCATATTTCTAGGCCACTCTCCCTCCCGGAGAGGAAGCCCACAGTGGCCGCGGGTAGCAATGGGTTTACGCAGCTCTTGGGAGCCCTCCCCGCCTGCAGCCCGAGGAAATGCCACCCCGTTTACCTACTGGAGAATGGGGCTTTCTCGGTCGCCTTAGCCCTTAGGGTGAGACCGAGAGCAGGAAGGGCCTGCGCGGCCGGCGGCCCCTCCAGCGGCTGATTCTATGTCCTCAACACGACTGGGCGCGAGTGGCCCACACGCTCTCAGGACCTGCACAGTAAGAGCAAGGCGCGTCCATCGCGTCTCTCGCACGTCACACGCGTGGGGCGCGTTGCCCTGCAAGGAAAGGAGACGATGGTTTTCAGTGTGGTTTCTCCCTGCCTCGTGCAATCAGATTACAATTAGCTAATACAAGCGGCCAGGCGTTCAAACCAAGGCGCAGGCTACTGAGTCAGGGAGAAATGGAATGCCTACATGAGCCCTAAACTCTGGTTCTCGGCCTTTGTATTCCTCTCAACCAGTCTACAGCTGGACCTAGCAGACTCAGAGCCATCAGAGGAGTTGGGGGTATTAGATGGGCCGTGGTGTAACCTCAACCACTGCTTAGGCCTTCCAGGTGACCTGAGACCACATCCCTAACTTCCTCTCCTCAACTGACTTAAAAAAAAAAAAAAAGAAAAGAAAATGATAAAAGGTCTGGACAAAGATACCCGCAGGTTTCTAAACCATCAGCCATCCCTCCTCACTCCAAGGCCAACCAAGATGGGGGGGGGAGGGGTGTTCCAATGTAAATCCCACAGAAAAACATCTGGATCTTTGTCGAAGAATGTTGTCAAAGTCCTTTCTACTTTGCTTCAAAAGATGCAAGTATACACCAAATTTAGAGACCTATCTCATCCACCTTTGTCCAGGGGGATTTCTCCCTGCTTTGGGGAAGCTGGAGACACAAGGTTCCAGATCTTATTGCATGGCGATAGTAAGGTGGAGTTCCAAGAATGTAACCGGGCCTCCAGAAGTGAGAAATATTAAATGCATGAAACTTTATCTACTTGGGAGTAGTCCCAGTGTACCCAGACAGTAAAAGTCAAAGCTGAAATACATGTCTGTTCACTGTGCATTATTTTACTACCGTATGCCAAAACAAGTGCACAGCTAGGAGGGGAACATGCCTCATCTTAAAGCATCTTGTAAGAAAGCAACTGTTGCAGAAAAGAGGAAGTCTCTGCCACTCTTCTCCCCAGCTGTATTCAAAAAGCAGCTCCTTCCCACGTTAAAACAGCAATCACCAAAGAGCCCAGGGAAATCAAATCCATTTTACGTGCAGGGCACTACCGTTGGAATATATGGGGCTCCAAAAACCCTTATCCTTTTCCCTTAAAATTCATTTTGCCACCCCCACCCCCGCTGGAATTCCGGTGTTGAGGTATGTTAGCAAGTAGATTCAAAGCTGCTTCCATCATATTGGCCACTTTCTAAATTATTCCCTTTGAGCTTCTTTAAAGAAGTGCACCTGCAGAATTCTGACACACAGGCTTTGATGAAAAAGGGATCGGATTTTTTTTTTCTCAGTACCTTATAGATTGTGTAGGAAGCCCAAGTCCTCTTTGAAGAAGCTCATAAACCATGCGGGCAAAGCTTTGGAAAACAGAAGAGAATGAAATAGTACATACCCCTCCGAAGGAATTACATACTAATCAACAGTATTCATAGTGTCTGTGTGTGTGTGTGTGTGTGTGTGTGTGTGTGTGAGTGCGCGCACGCGCACGTGTGTACACTATCGTTCTTAAAATTGGTAGGTGACACAAATGTTATAATAAATGCAAGATTCTCTGTATGCAGCTGCTGGCAAGGCTGAGAACTAGTAACGTTTCTGAAAAGAATTGATGATGAGTCTTAATCACTTATTGGTCCAGATTTTCCTCAGCCGCGGGAGCCGCGCCGCTCGTCAGGCCTGCAGCCCCGCGAGCTCCCGCCCCGCCCACCCTCGCCGTCCCTAGTTACGCAAAGGGCCAGGGAGCTGGGCACCCGTAGGTTAGGGACGCAGCGCTGGGCGGGGAGGGGACAGAGTCACTGACGCGGCTGAAACAACGCAAAAAGGCTAACCACACCCATTTGCATCCCGGAAAATTCCCGAAACCATGTGAGGAAGGAAAGGCAGTGGAGAAGAGGGTGGCTGGGAAAGTGGGGAGGTGAGGTGGAGGGCGGGGACTGCGAGAGAGTTTCCTAAAAAAAAAAAAAAAAAAAAAAAAAAAAAAAATTAAAATTAAAAAAAAAGTTCGTGCGTCTCAGTCAACCAGCTCTCAAAGCACTGACACCAACGTTTCTCCGATTTTCTTCCAATAAGTTAGAGTTTTCTCATGTTTAGTCTTATGTTTATTTTCCAAAGGGGGGAAAATCATGGTTTTTCTTTTATTATCAGTATTACTAAACTCGAAAGAACCGAAGTGGAAAATCCGGACGGTTGTCTCCAAGAGAATCTTGAAATAGACACTGAGAACAGTAATTGTTGCTCCGTTGTACGCCTCAGTTTTTTTTAAGTTATTTAGCTTTCTTTTTTTTAAAATTTTGATTGTATGTGTATTCTACCTAATATAATTCTTCCAAAGCCAATCCGATATTTAAAGCTAAAATTAAACTTTTTTGTTTTGTTTTCCTTTTGTATTTAAAACATTTTTCCTTCTTTTTTTTTTAATTTTCATTTCCTGTGTTTCTCCTCCTTGTCGCCAGTTTTACTACCTGGGCCTTCCCCAGACGTGTGCCTGTTAGTGGTGGTGGTGTTCAAGAACATCTTGTCCATGCCTTTGAGCGCCTCGGTGAGATAGTTCTGCAGGGCCGTGAGCGCGGCGCAAATGGCCGGGGCGCCGAAGCCGTGCGTGATGAGGCTGAAGTGCGTGAGGCAGCTCTGAATCCCCGGCTCCAGGATGGGGCTGGGCCGGCTGTTCCCGATCGGTGTCCGGTCCTGCGCCAGCAGATCTGTAAATTCTTTACAAAGTTGCCTGCAAAAGGGTGGGGGGAGGAACAGAAAAATCACCCTGGGTGTCGTTGTCATTGGCATTAGAAAGGAGACGCTCACACAAGCCCAGAGGCGCCCGGCTACCGAAGAGCGAGGCTAATGTGGACGATTCCGCTCTGTTTCCTTTCCCGGCGCTCTCCTTTCCCGAGCAGCTGGGACTGGAAGGAAGGCGGGGGTGGGGAGGGAACGCAGCCCCTCCACCCCAAAGCCTTGCTTTATTTTTCCCCTCTTCATTCAGTCTTTCCTTCTCCATTCCAGGACTGCATAGACTGTGCTGAGAAACTCGCTAGGTGTTGCCATTTAATTATGAATATTCAATCATTTTTAGCTCTTACCTGGTATTTCTTTTGGGCCATTTTCCCCCTCCCGCCTCTCCAACCTCTTGGTGATCCGGCGCAGAAAGCCCGGAAAGATTTAGGCCCCTGGCCACAAGCCTGTCCCTAGCACTGAAGCAGATTGCTGGAGCCTTGCATGGCCCAGGGCAACAAACTGTTTATTCTAGGAGAGAACGCTGATTCCATTCAAAGCAAAAACCTGTTTACCTACTGTATTTGGGAAGGGAGAGATTTTCTTTCTTTTTTGTTTTTTCTCCCTTTCTTGCTTGTAAGTGCAGGCGACTATAAATCTTTGTAAAACAGGATTGTTGTCAATATAAAAGGATTCCCACATAGTTTAAATAAAACCTAAAGGTGGACTGTTAAGACACCAGGGAGGATAGGTTTTATTTGTTGAAGGTTTTTATTTCCTCAAGGCACTTACAATTCAGAGGAATCTCCCAGCCTTAGAAATCCTGTGTACCTAACTACAGATTGAGCTTATTTGAGAAATTTTTAATATAGGAGATAGATGGGAAGTTTTGAGCCCTGCAGGTCAAATGACTTGGCTCTGCTAGCAGGCAGAGCTACAGCATCCCAAAAGCTACAGCCTTTCTCACATTGGCAGACTTTTTCTGTTTGCTGCCCTCCAGCCCGAGTCTGTGGGATTTTGAGAAAAGCAGACCTACAGCGCTCCCATTTCCAATTCCTCAGGGAATGACCGGACAGGCACTTGGCAACACCTGGCCTTGCCAACGAGGAAACAGCGCAGGTGACTGGATTCAAAGGACCCTGGAGCATTCTTTCCCCAGGGTGCTGCCACTTTGGTGAGGGATACTGCCTAAACCAGATGGGGTATACTTCCTCCCTCACCCTCTCACAGCAGCTGAGAAGTTGTTTGGTTCTAAGGCTGGTGAATAGAGAACGCTGATAGGTACCCTCTTTTCACCGTGTGGTTTCTACCTTCAAAATACACATACACACTCACAACCTGGGAGGAACAGGCAGAAGTTCTGACCTAAGTCAGGCAGTTCTCAAACCAGAGGTGCCTCGGAATCAGTGGTGGGGTTCAGGGTACTCGGAGGCCCTCCCCCTCCCTCCAGTGATTCAGGGGATTGAGGTATAGGTTCATGCCTAAACATTTTGGAAAAGCTCCCCAGGTAATTCTGACACCCCACATTAAGAAGTACTGGCCTAGGAGAAGCCACCAGGCTTCAGGAAGGGGAGCAATTATAAGCATCCCTTCAGGAACTGGAAGAGTCCTTGGTGGAATTATTATCTGATTTACACACTTTTAAGTGGGGGGGGGGCCTAAAATATTAAAATGCACTTACTCACAACAGGTCGCCCACGGCAGACACCAGGGCAAGGGGTAGCAGGCAGGCAACTGACTAAGGTGTGGTGCAGCTAGCTTTGTACCTCAGAGGAAAACCTTGCCGCAAGAGGGTGCCGGCCAGGTTTTGATCATTGGGAGAGCTGGTTAAAGTCTTTCTATAAGTTTTGTATGCATTACAAAAGTGCCAAAAAGGAAATTCTGTACTGGGGAGAACAAATACTTAAGAGTCAAACATTTTAAATCTTCAAAGCCCAAACGAGGGTCTGTAAGCAATTAAAGTTCTGGGACATTAATATTTTTTGACCCTGCGGAAAGGGGCAATCAAATTCCAATCACGTCTCAAAAACATCTGGACAAATTTGAGCAAATGATTTTTCAGCCTTCCATATATTTCTTTAAATTACGCTGTCAACGGAACAAGCCCGCGTCCTCCAGCGCTAAATAAATGAGCGCCGCCGCTGTTTGGGCCGCGCCTGCTAGAGAAACGTGCGGGCGCACGCAGCGCCGCCCACTGCAGGCCTGAGCCGGCCATAAAACACCAACAATATGACACCGAAGCCAAAGACAGGAGTAAATCAAATAAATAGAAAACCCACTGTAAAAGTTCAAATGAGCTCTAGACCTAAATTTAGCTGGAGATTTACTATTTTCCCCTCTGGAGTTGTAGTAAATTTTACAAGTCAGTGGAAGATGACAAACAGCAACGTTGGAAACGGAGTAATTAGAGCTGTGGGTAGAGATGGGTACACGTGGGTGACATATAGACACCCTGAGCGAGCACACATGGCTGTGTGGATCTGACAGGGAAAGAAATGTGAAATCCAGGCAGAAATATGTGCCTAGGGATCAGGGAGGAACTGGAACAAGGACCCACCCGGAGAGGGTTGGAGAAAAGAACGGTGAAAATCTGGAATTCAGATTAATAAAGCCATTCTCTGCAGACTTGGAAAGAGAAAATAGCAGAGATAAGCCAGAGGAGCCGGGACAGATTCCTAGCCAGCTTGCCACAGGCTGCAAACACCACTTTCAACCAACCCAGTGAGCGACTTCTCTGCCCCCACAAATGAGGGCTCTATACTACCACAACGCAGAGCTCCTCCCAGCAAGGAGCCTCAGCAGGGTAGAGAGTCTGGGACACTCACTTGGTGGCCAGCAGCATATTCTTTCGGGAGTGCAGGTCACTAGGGTCCGTGTGCTGCCGGTTCAAATACTCCGAAACAGCTTTGGCGGGGAACTCTGTTTCACAGATGTACCCAAAATCTCGAGCTAAGTGAACAGCTTCTCCTGAAAAGACAGCAGCAGACGCAAATCAGCACCCATTCCCTAAATATCCAGGAACAGGAGAGGCTCCCTGGTCAACTCTGGTAGTGTTACTAGAGGAAGCCAGCTGTTGGGGACAAAAGCAGAGATGAGACAGATGCCAGAAGTAAAAATGATCCTCAAGCTGTAATTAAAGTTGACAGAGCTCTTTCCAGACCCTCCCTGAGCCGTGTCCTAGCTAGACATCTCTTGAAGCTACAGGGTCTCTCACAACCCTCTTACTTTGTCTTAAGGGAAAGGTGGGCTGATGAATCCAAGAACCACCTTAAAATGGAACTTAAAACATTTGGCTGGCTGTTCAAGCCAGATTCTCCCCTTCTCTTTAAAGCATCTGTTACACCTGCTTTAAATAAAATTTAAAAGTCACCATCATCTTCCTATAATTGTATTAGGAAAAAATCTCTTATTAATAACTAATATATATAAACAAATCCATGTGTGCATGTGTCCACATATATTAAAGAATATATGTAAAATATATAAGGAAAGAGTTTTGCTACCCAGCAATGAAATAATTATTCTCTTTGTCACTTTCCTGCTAGGCTTCAGATTTCTCTCCTTCAGAGGTTGCTGTCATCATCCTCCTACTTAAAGATTTTCTACTGCACAAAGATGACACAGAGCTGTAGAGAACCAGAGCTTTTAAGGTATCTCTTGGCTTCTGAGGAATAAAGAATTGTTACTCTTTAAAGCACAGCCTTGGGGATTCCAGGAAAGATCCCAAACATGAAAAAGAGATATGTTGAATTACCCCATTGCTACATTACTTTTAAAGAGCACGACTTACATTTAATCATCATTATCATAATAACAATGAAAGATTTCTCATGGTGCCTACCAGGATTCATAAAACTGAAAACTGCCAACCAAATATTGGAATTTCAGTGGGTTTTCCAGTTTCTCCTCTTCTCCACCAAATTCCCTATCTTGGACAAAGATTATTTGGACTGCTTTTCAAAATGAGGATTGTAATATTAGCAATTCCCGGAAGGGCAAAATGTGAAACCCCCAGGCTGAGAGTCGACCGCTAATAACTGTGGTTTGGAAATTCAGTGACTGCTTCCTCTGGAGGGTAAGTTTGGGCCAAGCAACTTTGCCTTAAAGATGGCAAAGTACAAAATGCATAATTGTGATGAATTTATGGTTGCTGCTTAAATATTCTAAGATGCCCTCCTCCAAAAACCAACTTCCTACAGGAGGGTCATAGATCATAGCCAAAAAAAAAAAAAAAAAAACACAAACTATAAGCTAGATTTTAAAGAAAATTCTACATGTTCCTCTTTTAGGATCATCTATCTATACAAAAAGTCTTCAAAAAGTGCATGGAAAATGTGTATCATGAGAAAACTGTGCATCAAGATAAACTCACCTTTCCATTTCATTTTTCACAAATTTTGAAGTATACTCATATTTTCTCTCCTTTTCCCATTCCACAAATTCCACTGTACATTCGCTTTTTCTAGACTATGTAGACAAGTTTTTTCATTACATACTATAAATACCATCTTCAAACTCAAACTACTGAGAAAATTAGGTCTTATTACAATCAAGATATTTTAATTCACACTTGAAGAATCTACATTGCTGATCAGACCTGACTGCCCTCCATGTTTCCACAACCCCCTCCCTAGCTTTCTCCTAGGCATCACTGGCCTTATTAAGCCATCAATATTTCACTATGTTCCAGGTAATCAGCAAGAGATACGGCCCTGGAAATGACATGTGTTTTAAAATAACCATTAGAGGTCATGATTGCAGTATGTTTTCCTGTTCCAGCACTCCAGAAGTAAAATCTGGGAAGGAGAAATGGGTATAGAATAGATTGTTGCTTTGTGGATTCACTCTTGCAAGAGTTCACACAGAGGTGTTTCCAATATTGTGTGGCAGCAGAGCTGACCCTGCCCTGACTTGGAGGCTAGACCTGCCTACTTCTCAGAGCACAGGAACCCCCAACACGCAAGGATATCCCCTGGCCTCTCTACAATGGCTGGCTCTAAGTAAAAAGACCTTTGAACTTCTCTCAAGCAGCCGCTTGACATCCAACTCATAAGGGCACAACAATCGCAATGATTTCCAGTTAATCATGAAACATGTAAAATGTCAGCCTCCAGCCGACAGTTAAACTCAGCCACTTCGTGAAATGGCCACACGTCTTGCTTACCTTCCACCAGGGAGGTGAGTAACGTGACATTTGCTGCTTTGCGCCTGCCCGCGGGTAAATTCAAACCGATTTTTTCTAGCCTTTCTCGCAAAGATCTCCCCCCATTTTTCGATTTGGCTCTGAAATTGCAAGAATTAACATTCTGATTAACCTCAGAGTGTTCCTGAAACAAAGTTTAGACTTAGCAATCTAAAGCCCAGTGGAGCTTGAAGAGGTTTTAACTTGAGGTTAGCACATTTTTTTCCCTTCCTTTTGGTTATTTGCTGATAGTTTGCTGAGGTTTGCTTAATTTCTGCAATACAGAGCATAAAAAAAATTGAGTCGTTTTCTTTTTTTATCTTGTGAGGAAAAAAAATGATACCAGATGGGAATAATTAGGGTGTAGGTTGTGGGTCCAGAGAAGGTAGAAGTTGCACATGCACACACACATTTCTTCCTTGTCTTGGAGCCAGTGAGGTGAGCAGCACAACCTTGCTGAAAAGAGGAATAGAGCCAGGTGGTTCAGAGAGGAAAAGGCACTTGGTGGAACAGGTGAGCTTTGCGAGGAAGGGGTCAAGAGCTGCTGTATAAGCAGCTGTGTTAGAAAGTGAGGGAAGACTGAAATATGAAACTAATAATGATAAGCATAATAACACTAAAATTAACACTCTGGGGAGTTTAGTTATGTGATAAGCACTTTATATTGATTATCTCCATCTCATAACAAGTTTTAACCACACAAGCTCAGTGCTCCGGGGGTGACTGAATACTTCCGTGCTTCCTCACTTACAACTGAACCAAAGTAGAACAGAGCAGGGGAATTCAAAATGAGAAAGTTCCTGGGTCTCACCCTAAATTGCTCCCAAGACTCTCTTTGTAAGTGCTAAAGTTGGGCAAAAGTACAAGGGGGAAAAATTACCATGAATTTTGTTGCGGTATTATCCACACAGCCATATTTAGGAAAGAAGGGGCCTGTCCATCCCAAAATGGGAACTTGGAAAGTTCCACCTCATACAAAGTCACCTTCAGATCAGGGACACTGCCAGTGGTTCAGGGGTTAGCAGGGACTTTTGGGTACAATTTAACCTTCAGACAAAAGGAAGTTTCCAGGAGGATTCAGTCTATGGGAGGAATATCCGGGCGCACATAGATGGGTCCATGCAGTAACCATCAATCCTTCTTCCATGGGTATTATTATTCCTAATGGTGGTGGTATTATAGAAGGAAGAAGTTCACCGATCTAGAAGAGTTTTTCAGTGAGGCACAATGCATTTGTGAGTGGTGAACCCAATTTAGTGGATTGCCAACTGCATTTTAAAACATACAATCAAACAGAAAAAAATGCCAGAGTACACTAGAGATATTTGATAGTGGAGGTACGGTGTACAGATAGATGTAAGTTCCAGCTCGAACGCTTAGGCTGGAGAAGGCGCCCCTGGTGTCCTGGAGCAGGAGGGCCCGGGGCGGGGAAAGTGGCAGCAGGTTTTCAAGCGGCAAAAGAGTGGGGACCGGGAGGGAGGAGAGCGAGGCTGCGCGTGCGCGAGCGCGGGCCCGCGGGACGCCGGTCTGAGGGCCGCGGCGTGAGTGCACGCGGCCCCGAGAACGCAGCGGTCAAGGTTCTGGGTTTTCGCCGTGTGGGGACCCCACTCCAGCCGCGCGGTTGCTAGGCAACCGCGTCCGCCTTCTCCAAGGTCTCCGCACCGGCTTTCTTCCCGACACCCAGGAAACATTGGTTTGAGGGGTTTTACCTTCTGAGGACGCCACCGAGGAGAGACGCATTGAGGCATTCGGGGGGCGAGAGCCGTCTCTGAACTTCTCCAACAGTTACTTTGTACTTTGAAGTTGAACTGAGCAGAGACAAGCGGCCTGGGACCGAGCAAAACACCTCTCCGGTGTTGACGGACATGCCTCCCAAGAAGCCATCTTTATTCATCATTAGAGAAGTCACAGATTTGGGAGGAACCGGAACTAGAGAGAAAGAGAGAGGGGAAAACATTCCATAAAGGTGACCCGGTTTCAGTCCTGGTGACTGGCTGACAAAACGTGCTATTGTGAGAGACCACAGGACAGGAACCAAGTGGAAAGCTGGGGAGGAAGGATTTGTTCCAGCGAGGCTGCGGTGCGTTCAGAGCACTGTGCACAGATAGAGGCCGACACTCCTTTGGAAACTTACCTGGTGTGTGGGCACACACGTGTCACTTTCCACAGCACCGCTCACTACACCAGTCAAGAAAACACACAGCCCCAAGCTTGGACCATACTATGAAGCCAGGCAAATCCTATTCCATCACGTGCTAGCTGTGTGACCTTAGACACTCATTGAATCTCTCTGCATCTGTTTCCTTGTCTGCCTCCTGAAGACAATAATGCCAGTCTCATTTGGTGATGAAGCACGAAGGTAATCATCACCACCCAGTGATACAAAACGGTAACACCAATTGTCTCTATGGGAACCCGTTCCTCCCCTCCCATTGGACCCGAGTCTGTGGTCATCACCAGAGAGGCTCAGGAAGTTGAGCCCTATCAGACTCTGTGCCCCCAGACAGACAGTTCTGGGGATCTGGGCTCCAGGGAGCTGCCCTCTTTAAAACCGGCCCCACTTCCCCCTATATAATAATGCTAGATTCTTTTAGAAATAAATCCAAATGCTCACCTCCAGTGAAAGCAATTGTGCAGTGAGATGAATTTTGTTTACAAATTAAAGCTCTGGCTGGTGGTTGTTTGGAGCGGTTATGATTCACAACAGGTGCCCTGATCAATCAACCAATCACTCTAATTCATATGAGCGGTGGTCTTGCCTTGCCCCAGTTGTTTCATTTCGGCAAGTAATTGATAACAAACCGCACTCAAGGTATGTTTTATGCAGAAGTTAATATGAGCTGACAGCTGGTTGCCACTGCTACCCTGGCGCATTCAGCCTCTCCAGCCTGTATTTCTGTTTAATTGTGTTTCAGTGTCATCTGCACGTTAGGAAGAGGCTGGGCTCAGAAGGCTGGGAATGAAGAACAGTGAAGTCAACATCTAGTTCCCTGGCGATCTTGCCCCTTGAGACTCTTGCGTGATTCAACTCCATTTTCTTTCCCTAGACTCTAGAGGTCACTGGGCAGATGATCTTCCTGATTTGCCTTATACCTTAGTCTCTTCTATTGGGATATGAAGACAACAAATCTTCACAGTATTTTTGATTACCAGTCCAGGGGATTTATTGAAACATGCCTCTGATATGCAAAAAGATGTTTCCACTCCTACTTCTTTGATAAAAACTCTATCATCCCGATAGGAGAAACCACTCTTTCTACCATCTGGAGCCACGAACACCATAGTTCAAATAAAATGCATAACCTCCCTTGTATGGAACAGGATAATCAACAATAAGTATTTTTGTAACAGTTCATCCTTTTTACCAAGAATTCTGGTATTTAAACCTCTATAATTACTCAGAGACTTCTAAAAGCCAGGAAGCTCCAAAATCTTTTATTTACTTGGAATTGTAGTTGGCTCTTTACCCAACAACTTGTGGAAAAGAGCTTTCCTAGAGGAGTTGGGGAAGGGGTACAAAAGTATTTCATTTAGCCACTTCTTGGAGGATACCTGTATCTGTCCACAGAGGCCAAGACCTTGTCTCAGGTGGATAAATGATGATAGGTAACAAGGTGGCTCTTCAATGGCTGAAGGGGGATGGCTACAGGGAAGGCTTTCTTCTTCCTCATTCCCCTCCTATTTTCATTTTGGAAGTTGCTTCTCATTTGAGAATGAACCAATGAAAAGTCAAAGCGTGAGTATTAATCAAATTTGAATAAAGTCTAAAATTAAACTCACTTAACAGTCCAGTGACTGGATTGGGAACACCCTATCATTGGGTCTCATACACAATATTAACATCTATTTTAATCTCTTATTCTTCACAGCAGTCCTGATTTACACATTTCACATTCAAATTCACATTTAAGGCCCTATAAACAAATAATTTGTGATCATGGAAACTGGCATCATGTAAACTTGGAAAATTTTCCCGAAATATAGATGTCCCTTTGTAGTTTTAACATTATGTGAACTATGGAAATAAGTTGCATTGGAATCACATCTTTGATAGTCTGTAACATTTTTTCTTTAAGTACTCCTGATAATAGTTTAAAATAACAACAACAAACCCACTAAGCTGAAAATACAAAGTTCAGTTCCTGCATCCTATACTGAATAACTGAATAGCTCCCCAAAGATTAGAATTTTGACCGATTCTCATGGTCACAGACATCAAATCTCTTGAAAAGACAGGCCTTTAGAGACACTTTAAAATGTGCCTTCTAATTTTACTACTTTAATTGCCTGATTTACCTGACAAGAGCTTTTCCTAAGGGGAATGTGTATTGCTCTCTCTCTTGGGCTGTACCTCTCTGCATATGCATTAACACCTAAATACCCTCAATTGAATCAGCTTTTGTCAGCACCCTACCACTCCCGGAAGGTGTATTTTTTCTTTTAAAAACAATGTTGTGATGTACTTCAGGGTTTTTGGTTTTGTTTTGTTTTTGTTGTTTTTTTGTTTTGTTTTGTTTTTAAGTATCACAATCCTGTTTGACTTCTGCATAGTCCCTTCTCATCCTTAGGTTCTTAACCTGTTTCCTACCTAGCAAACTTTTGGTCCCTTACATTTCTCTTGTCCCAACTTTCCTTTAAGTCCTTAACTCCATTGTCATCTACTTTCCCCATCCACTTTCACACCTGCTTAGCTCAGCTGATTAACCCCATATTTTATTCTCTTTGTCTTTCCCCTTCTGCTTACCTCCAGCTTATCAATAAACCCAGAGAGCAACAGGGCCCGGTTGATTTGTTAGTAATTATGAGCACACTGTTCCTGCTCACAGAACCCAGCGATGACTGAGATAGGTTTAAAGCGACAGCAGGAAATGGTAAGGAAATGGAGCATAGCAGAACTCAGCATGAAGCTTTCAGTTCTTTCCATGTTTACAATTTTCTGTGCATACATTAAAAGTTGAGTTTTCTTTTTTTTTTTCCTCTTCACTCAGTTGGATGGCATAGCCAACTTCTTGAATGTAACACATATATAAAGCTCACTCACCTCCCTTTCCCCATGCATTATGTTGGGGAGAAGTAGGGGGAGAAGGTTTAAAAATACACCAATACTTCATTAGCGTGACTAGGGTTTTATTTAAGATAGAGGAGGGTAAATGATTAAAGAAAATATTATTCATTATCATGTTATATAGAGCTAAAGGGTTAATAGGCTGCCTCTTCATCGCTTCTCTTTAAACTTAAGTGTGAAACCATAGCCCTGGGATCTTTGTGTTTGACTGGATCTGCTGGTGGGCAGAAGGAAAGAAATGAACTTATAGAGTCAAGGCATGAGTCCCTCTTTGAAAGGCTATCTGACTTAAACTATGTGTTGAAGCTACATGGTGAAGCAACCAAGAGGCTCAGCATTGATTCAGAATGGGCACTAAAAGGCAAATAATTACATCTCACCAGCAGAGCACCCTTTCCTCACATTTGCATTTTTCCCATCTACCTGAGGGCTGTATTTTATTTCACATGGATAGCACATGTATAAATGTGAGCACAAATCATAGAAAGAAAAATAATCCCCACAAAGAAAGCTCGAATATCAAAAACTACCAACACCCAGTATTAGCATCCTTTAGGGACAGAGTCTAAAAGGCTGAACACCGTGTTGGGTCTCATCACTTACATGGTGTCTGGGACCTCAAGAAAGTCATTGATCTTCTATGTTGGCACTTGGGGGGAGGTTCTTATTTGGGGGGTTTCATATTAAGGGACTGAAGAAGAGTGTCTAACTTTTCCCACTTTGAAAAACATCTATGTACTCTGGTCACTCTCTGGGTGGTGGAATGCATCTCGGTGTCTGCTTGATAAATGCCAACTGAGATCCCTGTCAGCTCTGGAAATGTGAACCTCTTCTTTCAGGAGGCTCTGGCAGACCTTTGGTGCATTTTACCTTCTAGGCTAGGAGGAATACCAACAGCATTCATTGTAATTGAAATTTGGCAATTCCTTTATTCTTCCCACCCAAAGAAAATGCACACCAATCAAAGTGTTTATATGGGGAAGGGGCCAGAACTAACGGGAAAAAAGGTGGGATAGAATGGAGGTTGAACTGAAACTAACCAAACAGGATATCCCTAAGACCAGTGAAAATGCCCCACAGTCACAATATTTGAACCTTGGATTCCAGCCACGACAGCCTTTCCAAGAAATCCCAGCATATTTTCTGCTGTCTAAGGTGTCAAACAGATTGCATATTGGCCTCTGATTGCACCAAAACCTTTTTCTCAAAGCCTAGGTAAGCCTTTTTTTAGTTAGAATATATGATGGTGGCAATGATCATTTATATTAACCCCCCACTCCAGATTTCTAATCTTAATGGAACTGAGAGTTAAGAATGATTTTTTAATGTCTCGTTGGATTTTTAGACTGTTAATGTACCGAATCCTTCTCATTATTACTTTATTGATTGCTCATTGACCAGCCCTCTTCAAATCGTATTAACCACCCTCTGCCGGTTTAGATTAGGAGAGTTTTAAAAAGCACCTTTCATTACTCCCTCCCACTCTTGCCATGGAGTTGAGACTAGGCAGCTTAATGGGAGCTCTAATGGGGCAGCTAAGAAGAGAGGGGCCACGGTCCCTGCCGATTGCATTAATAGCTCAAAGGGGGCCAATACAGAAAATTAGCCGTAAACGAGCTCTGGAGATCTTCAAATGAAAGAGCCATTTATCACGCTGGCTACCTTCACTCCACTCGTTTGCTCTCTCTACTGGGAACAACTCATTTCCTCTTAACTAAATTACTTCAGAAATGTCAGCTAAGCCCAGATAGCAAACATAACAAGAGAGGGAGCCTATAACCTATGCAGTCATATCAACCCAGGTGAAAAATTAGGCTGGTTAAAATTTAGGAGAAGGCCTTGCCATAATTGGAGAAAAATAAAGATAGAGAAATGTACCTTTATTGCTCCTAGTTCAGAAACACACCCCTGATGGTCTGGGTGCATGAACACAGAGGCAGAGACACCCAAACCTAAAGCAGTTGTCAGCCTTCTATTAATGAGTTGTAATTTAAAGAAAAAATATCCTTCTAAACGCCCATTATGAAATAAATTAAACAACTGTGTCCCTTGCCAGTTGTTGGAAGTTATTTAGTTTAGAAAAGTTTTTCACCTCTTTTATGAAATTAATCTCATGGAGACATCCCTCATGAGGGGTGTAGGCAAAGATAGGAGACCAGAAGGCAGAGAAGAGGCTAATGAACCCGTAACTTTATTTTAAGAAGTTCATTTTTTGAGTTAGAAAAATAAATCAAGCACTTATTCTTATTTGCCTATGGCTCTCTAAAGACAAAAATATGGTATTAGTATCTTTTCTTCATGTAATAAAGCAAATATAAAACATTAAATAATGGAACTGACCTAATATTTCACACCACACCTTCTAAATCAATTAAAGTAGCTAGAGTGCTAATTAAATATTTTAAACTGTACATTTTTAAAAAGCTTTTGGGAACATAAAATATTTTTCAATGTTTTAAAAAGAAACTGCAACTCTTGTCAATGTTCTTCTTATTCCTGGAGATAACCTTACATATAAATATTCACATTTCTCTGACAAACATATGCAAGCTCTGAGGCCAAAGCATCCCACATCTAAGAATTATTTTCAGCTCCATTTTTGCCAGGCAAGCTAAGTTCCAAATATTTTTATTGGCCTGACTATTAATAACATTGTTGATTGGTCATCTGTTGGGCACATCCCACTGCCAGCCCAAATGATGTTGCTAGGATACAGAACCCTGAGCTAAGTAGCTCTAGCTTTCCATGAAAAGGGCGGGGGAATTAAAACAAAACGCACAAAAAATCACATGCAGAAGCTCCTCCCCAACTCCTCCCCAATCAACCAGTAATTAACCAAAAGATCCAAGATGGAATAGTGCAAGTGAGCTGTCAGCACAGTTGCAATACTAAGTCCCGAGCCTGGGTATCCTAGCAAACTCAAAAGCTGGCCTCAAATCTGGAAATGATATCTAAAGAAGAGAGGGAAGAGATGTTTGGAACAACATTTAAAATATTAGTTTTGCCTTCAACCTTACTATTCTACAGGATACTCATTTTAAAGCCAAATGAAATAATTTCAAATACTGATTCCCCCACCCATATTTGAAGGCTGCTCTTCCTGCTTTTGTAAAAGAAGACAATTTAGAATCCCTCACCCTGTTTGAAAACCTATTCCACAGTTCTACTATCCCAGTTTGACTCTGTCAAAGCATCTTTCAAAATCATCCTTTCTTTTCATTGTTTTTGTGAATGTCAAGTGGCTCAATTGAGTCATGAATGACTGAGGCCGGGGATTGTTGACATCAAACATAAGGACAGGCTTTCTTCAGCATTGATAGAAATGGGTTACAGTCCTAAGTTCTATCTTCAAATACCAGTTCCTGTGATAATTAAAGACTGCACTGTTTATACATTCAAGTTCCCTAAATTTGTGGCATGTGAGTGACATTCAGGCCTTTCGGCAGCCACACACTAATCTCCAGGCATTCTCTCAGTGACTGTCAGAGAAGAGGAGAAAAAAATTAAGCAGCTGCAATACGCCCAAAATGAGTTATTGTAATTACATTTAATTAGTTTAATTAGTTAATTATTTTGCTTACAGCTGTACAAGAGACTGCAAACATTTGTTAATATCACATGCCCTTTAACAGTATGGGGTGATTCCACAGTCACACTAAATCATGAATGCATATGTAGAAAGATTTAGAAATGTGCCTAGGCTGTCTTTAGTGTCTCAGGATGCGCATATTTAGCAACACATTTGGCACAGTTAAAAAAAATAATAAAAAGAAACCACTCATAAAGTATGAAGAACAGGGAACAAAATTACTGCCAAAAAGCCGAATACAAAATCAAAGATAGAAGAAGCTGCCACAGTGACACAGGGTTTAGGTCCACAAACTCCAGTTATCAGTGAAATAATTATGACATTTTTGAAACCAGTGTTTCCCAATCAGTTCCACATATGATGATAGTTCAATTGTCTAAGAGTATCTAGGACAGCTACTGACTATACCAAGAGAAAAACAGCAATCGTCTCAGTCCTCTCCCTCTCATCCGGGTTTCTGTCGGCAGCTTTCTCTCCCCCTCACCCCATTCCATTCTTCCCGACATGCCCTTTTACCTAGGCTGACAGTAGCTGCCCTGAGATTGTGAACAAACATTTGTCTCAGATAAAATAATGAATTTCCCCCCAAAGTGAAAGCTCATCATAAAGACATTAAACCACAGGAAAACTTTGCTTACTTTTGAGAGGAATAATCCATACCTTTTTTAATGACAGATTGGTCCAATAGATTCATGCCGCTGTTATTGGCATCTTCAACTGACTGTGAATATAAAAACATCACTATTCAAATTGACTGGATATTAAAGAATCACACACATAAATCATGTCATTCCAAACTGGAGTTTGTTATTTCCATTTATATTAATTCACAAAGGGAGGTTTTATTATTATCATTATTAGCTCCAAATGGACATGGAAATGAAATTTACACAAATTATAAATTCTTCCAAGGAAGAAAAAGAGAAAGGAAACTGTGAGAGACAGCTGAGATGCAATCTCCATTTAGTTATTATATAAAACAGAGATATTACACAGACATGTAAACTTTTATATTATTTGCTCTTATGACTTGTAAAAATTTGTCAGCAGCTAAAAGATTTCACCAATATTAGTAACAGTGATTTCTGTTTTCCATTCTATCCCAGCACATCTTAACCCCAGAGCCATTTTACAAATAGATAATAGTTTACATTATGGGATTTTAATTAAAGTCTGCGCAGTTTGGAATGGAATGCTAACAGAAACACATAGGAACATGTTTGCAAGCCTGAAGGACCGCACACCTACTGCACTACATTCAGGTTCCTGTGAGCCATAAGCTTCTTGCTGCACAATGACACATCCTCAGAGGAGCCTAAACAATTTACTGTCCCTGCCCATTCTGCTGCTGCTGCTTCCCAGCAAGGAGCACACCTGTTAGGGAGGCAGTAACGGCAGACACAGAGACACACACAAAGGCCTGGACCCTCCCAGTCAGCACCTGGGTGACCTCATGGGGAGCATTATTTCTCCGTGCCATAGTTGCATCCCAGAAAAGGAAAATTTCAATGCTAATCATTAGTAGCACTTCTGAGGGGGAAAGAGATACAGGAGCAACATTCTCACTGTCAGGATACACAGCCAGAACAGAATCTGTTTACACCAAACAGCAGTTTAAAAGTAAGATGATTTAGTCAGGGAGGAGGCATGATCATTTCTTTCCCCTTTTAATAATGTGCAATTGTTCTCCTTAGTCCTTAGCAACTCATTTGCCCAATTTGTCAAACCCTCTGTACAGAAGTAGAAAGCAAAGGGCTGGAGGTGAGGTGGGGTTTTCACAGCACCTCCCACTCACTCCTGCTGCATCCCCAGACAGGGTGTGTGTTCACTAGAAAAAGTCTATCCTCAAACTAGCAGCAGCTTAGAAACAAGATGATCTAATCATGGAGAAGGCATGCTTATCTGTTTCTTTTCATTTATGGTAGTGGCTTTTCAGTTCTCAGAAAGGTGAAGAAAATTGTTATCCCTCCATAAGAATTATTTTCCATGTTGCAACATGCCATGTACATCCAAAGAAATGGTAAAAATCTGTTTAAAAAGTACTTCACTTAACTTTTTCACAACTCCACTGGGGACCCAAACACACACACACACAATCCATCTCTTCCTATGCTCACATGTCTGCAATGGCAATGTGTGCACGCAAGACAGAAATACTCGCTTGTGTGTGTGGGCCAGCCGACCTCTTACACGAGCCTGGACCCGTGAGCCCTTACACCTCACCCTCACGTTGGTACGTAAATATGTATATACGCCTCATCAGCGACGTGGGGTAGTTGTGGTAGTTAATGAGAAGGCTCTTGTCTGATTTTCTATCTAATTACGGCCGCCTGCTGGGTTTTTGTACAGGATATTCACGCAGCATGCTGGCGCTTAATCGTCACAGGGAGGATCGTAAAGATTTAATTAGGACTGCATGCGGAAGCGCAGAAAAACAACTCAGACTCGTAATTACTAGACTTCTTTAGTTAAAAGTGATACCAGGGGTTGCTTTAAGACACTAGGGTGTGTTTCTGTGTGCATGTGTGTGTGTGTGTGTGTGTGCGTGTTGGGGGGTTGACTTAACATTCTTGTATGTTTACACTCATGTATGGTAGAGGTGACGGGAGGTTAGGATGCAAAGATGGGAAGAAGGAAGGAGGTGTAAATGGAACCTAAACAAATCCCAAACTAGGTGTCATCTCATTTCCTCTTTCTGTAGCCCTGTGTCTGAGTTTTTAAAATTGCCCCCCCCCCCACATACACAATGGGTGAAATGTAGCATACCCGGAACCCAAACAGTGATTTGCTAGTTTAATAGCCCCTGTGAGTAAATTGAAATAGAAATTGACAGGGTTTTATAGTTTCATTTAAAAAAATATTAGAAGCATTTGGTTAATTAGCTCCCTACTTCTCTACTCTCTTGGTCGGGTGGTGGTCCTGTGTGTTTGCCTCTAGGTCACACAACATTCCCCAACCTTTGACCCACAGGCGGGGCAGAGCCCTCAGGGTCTGTCAGGTCTGTGGCTAGGGGGGATCTGGGATACACATCAGGCCCCTTGACAGAGAACAAGTGACTTGGAGATCTGAGCTGAGGTGCATTTTCGTCCCTTTTAAAGACCCGAGTGCAGCCAACCCGGGTAGCTGCAGGGAACGTAGAAACCCTGACTCATGGAAACTTCAGCCCCGGAGCTCCAGATCCCTTCTTGAAAGTGGATCTTACCAGGTGGAGCACATGAATCTCAGCCTCTGGACTCTGGGGGTCTAGTTCAGGTACATCTACCTCCCCTCCACCTGGCCCGTCTTTGTCACCTGCCCAGTATCATGTCAACTTCACCCTTGCCTCAAGAGGTCTGTCACTGGTATGCAAGACAGACACCATCCCTGCCCTGGTGGTTTCCTTCTTGGGACACATGCAGGGCTTTTCCCCTGCTAACCTTTGCACTGGGGATTGTCTCTAGGAGGTGCATCTCCCATCCCACCAAGGAATCGGCTGGAATGAAGCTGTGGAACAGGGCAGAGATCCGACAGGAGCACCAGAGGGCCAGGCCTGTCCTTTCTCTACTTTCGGGCTCTATTTACCTCTGCAGTTTAGAATCCCGACCCCAACGACTCAGCCCAGGGTGCTCTGTTCACATAGTCTAAAATCCTTTCTGGCGCTTAGACCAGGGGTATTCTAACGTGTACTGATATATTGCACAACCTGTGTGTCTTTCACATTTTACCTTTCACCACTCAAAAATCCTCAAAAATTTTTTTTGGAAAAAAAATCTAAAACTAAAGAAATCTGCTGTCCCTTTTTGGGAGAAGAATGCCTGGGTTCATTCGCTCAGCCACTTGGCCTGCAGAGTAGTGGTGACATTGCATCACTCACAGTAACGGTGATGAGTTGATCCACTTTCATTATCCAGCACTTTGAACCATACTCAGCGAGGTTAATTTAAAAACTTTCCCCTCAAGACACGTATTACCCCAATGCATTAAAAAAGACTATTAAATATTTCCTTTCTCATATGATATTCCAAAATGAGCAATATCTCCAGATAGGGACAATCAAGCTTGGTTACATCAACAAAACCATCACTCTTTATTATTATGGGTAAATCCAACCACAAATCAGATGATTTCACCTTTTTTTTTTTGAAAATAATAAATAACTGAATTTCTTTTAAGCCAACAAACCATCATAGACCACACAGAGACAGCATTGGATGCTGTCACCACATTTTAACTGTTTAAAAATATAATGTCTTCAGCAAGGTACAGAAGAATGACTCGTGAGCCCTTTTCTCTCCAACTGCATTTTCATCTCTTCATAAGTATATCTCAAATGATGCCTAATATACACAACTATACCAATGAGACTGAAGTGTCAATTAAATACCTTTCAACCATATTTTTCTTTCCTGGAGACTATTTAAATTATGAGGTGGGGGGAGACTTGCCCAGAATTACCCAGGCAGTTTTAGAAATAATTTCTTTGATGTTTCTTTGTTTAGTTTAACCTAGTACTCTCAACCAAATCAGGCTCCATTGTGTAGGCTGCAGATGGGATAGAGGGTGGGTAGGGGGGAGTGTTTTGAGCCTTTTGTTTTAAGAAATAAACACGTGATGCCTCTTCAACTGGGGTGGTGGCACTGGGGAGAGGAGAGTGTTAACGGAGGAGGAGAACTGGAAAAGGAGGTGGAGAATATCACTCCACAGTCATTTAATGAACCAAAAAGTGAAAAGAATCTCCCAAATGTTACCTGTCCTCTTGGATTCCCAAACCCAGTTACAGCTTTCTGGGTCTCTCTCCTACAAATATTTCATTTCTTGGATCAGATGATTTTGGATCTTTATCTCGGGACAGGGCTCTGCTGCTTATGGGACAATCACAGCAAGAGCAGCACAGAGCACATTTTTCTTCCAATGTGCATAGCCATGCTTACCACTACCTTTGCAAATCCAGCAGGAACCTCTGGATTCTGCAGGCCTTTGAATGGGACCAGGCCTGCTATGGGATATACATGCTGCTGGTATTGGTGGGGTACCAAGTTTGCCCACACAAAGCACTAGAGAATATGCTGCAGGAGCCAGAGAGTTGAGGCGAGGCAGAAATCCTGATTCCTAATTATCTCAAATTATCAACACACACAAATATTTCTCCTTTCATGACTTAATTTCTAGTAGTCCTAGCTTTCATAATAGGATCTCCAGAAATCGCCACAGCAGAGCCATATACATACACATATATACACAGAAACAGATATGCCCTGTACTGCTGCTTCTGTTCTAAGGACGGGAACAACGTCTCCGAAAGGAGATAAGAACCGTCCCTCCTCCCCGCCCGGGACGTTCGTTATTTATTGTCTTTTTTATTTGTTTGTGGTTACCTGGACGTCTTCCATGCCGGGATGGCCGAGGCCGTGCAACGAGAGGCTGTCACCCATGCCCGCGTCCAGGCCGTGGTGCGCCGAATGCAGCAGCACGTCCGGCCGGCGGACCGAGTGGTAGTCCCTCCGGGGGTCAAGGCCCGAGAGTTGGGGCAAGGCGGCCCGAGGCTGGGGCAGGAGCGAGCCGGCTTCCGAACCCACTTCTTGTCGCTGCCGTTGCCCCCAGGGGTGCTGCTGGGGCTGGTGCAGTGGATTCAGGGAGTAGGGATCGTTGACGTGGGAGTAAGGGTCCTGGCTCTGGTGGTAGGGAAGCGGCTGGTAGGGGGGCGGGAAGTAGGGCGGCTGGAAGTCCGACGACGGGGTGTGGGACAGCGGCGGGGCGCTTGAGTAGGGTCCTTGGGACACCGAGCCCAGCTGGGAAAGCCGGGAGCTGTGGCTCGGGACGCCATCGTGCCGGTCCTGGGAGCGAAGAGAGGAGAGAGAGGGAGAGACACAGAGAGACAGAGAGAGAAGGGGGAAAAAAATACAAGCGACAAATGGAGAAGCTTGGCTTCTCTACGTTCTTCCCGGGACGAAGAGAGCAGAAAGTTTGAAACTTGAACCCCTAAATTGACTCAGGGGGGCCACATGATTTCATCAATTCCAAACGCGAGGCTTTGGGGAGATAAAAAGGTGGTGGGGGTTGAAATCTCCCACTTAACCAATATCTGAGCCTTCTTTGGGGAGGGCAAAGCAAGCAACAGGGCCAGGGACAAGGAGAGAGATTCTAACCACCTCAAGAACATAGAAGGCTTGATCCGGGTTTGCTCTTCTGGAGGTTTTAAACTGTTTTGTTTTGTTTTGTTTTTTGTTTTTCCTAACTCTTCTAGAGGTCCAAAGCACAGCAACTAAAACTTCACAGATTTGCTGTGTAGCTGCTCCTGTTTCAAAGCCAACTTCTGCCTTCACTGACAATGCAGCTGGCTGGTCAGGAGCTCCCCACACTACCTGAGTCCCAGGAGCTCAGAGACAGCCGCCTGATCGGAGTTCCCAGTTACCCCTCCCTCCCCAAGAGGAATTAAATAACTTAAATAGTAGTGTTTGATGAAAATGAATCTCCTTCTAAGTCAAATCCTAAGCCCTTGTTGAGTTGTGGTTTGTAGGAGTTGTTTCTAAGGTTTTTATCTAGCACTATTATACGTTTAGGGTGTTAAGATGAAGGATCCAAAGTTGGGGATAAAAAAAATACAACAGGCCAAATGACTTATTCTTGGTTCTATCTGGAGTATAAACTAACAGAAAGGAGAAGAGGGAGAGATGTGTGGAAGGGGCTTTAAGCTTATCCCTCTTTGTGGACATGCCACCGTAAAGTCCCTAGAACTCTCTCTCTCTCTCTCTCTCTTTTTTTTTTTTTTGCAAAAAGTCACCTAAATTTCTAAACTATAATGGCAAATAAAAAGTTTTTCGGTTCAGCCTCCCCCCTCCCAGCTGACTCATGGAGCTCAGACGGGAACACACAATGCAGAGAGAAGCAGCTGCAGCCTCGTCCAATTATGGTGCTAAATTACCAAGCCAAAGGCGCTCAAAGGAAGACAGAGAGAGACGGAGTGAGGCACACACACACATACACAGAGAGACGCAGAGACAGAGAGACAGTGAAAGGAGAGAGCATGCAATTCTGGTACAACGTGAATCCGAACTCACCATGGATGAATAGGTGTGGACTAACATCTGGAAAAAAAAGCCTGGTTACTGCTCAAAAATCAAACAATGACTTAAAAAAAAAATCAAGGAGTCCAGCAGAGAAGCGAGCTGGACACAGGAGCCGAGCTTGAGGTGTTTCCAGGACAAGCCATCAAAAAAAAAAAAAAAAAATTACCCCCCCCACCCCAACAAGATTGGCGATGCCTGTCACACACAGACAGAACTGTTCATCTGTCTCTTGCCGTCTTTTTGGCCTCTTTTCTTCTGTCGTTCTCCGGGGCTCCAGAAGCAGTCCTCTTCCACCCGGAGCTGGGCTCAGACTGCTCGGGCGCCCCTTCCTCCCTCTGCTTGCCTACACCGCCTCATAATAATTGATATTCATGACTATTAATATTACACGAGTACTTTAAAGGGAGAATGGAGGACAAATGGAGCGTGAAGCCGCGGCGAGCGCAGAGCTCCCCTACTATTGTAAATGACGTTCATTCAGTGGAGAATTACTAGATGTAATCAGACGAGGGGGCTGGCAAAGGCAGACTGGGGAAAAAGTTTAGCAGGAAAGAGGCAGAACTTCAATTAACTGAGCGGGGACGCGCGTAAAGCAGTCCCTGCTCCTTTGGACAAGGCATGAAGGAAAGCATAGCTGGGGGCTTGTACAGAATGTAGGTGTTCTTGTACCTGCAGAGAGACTTTTCTAGTGGGAAGAATTGATCGCCCTGGGTGCTTTGTGTGCATATTTAAAAAAAAAAAAAAAAAAGGAAGGCGTTGCCTCCCCATTTGGAGGGGAGAGGAAAGTACAGCGGTGGGCCCAACTGTTTACAGTGATGTTTGCAGACTCTCACTGAATGTGGAAGGTTATGTTCGTTTATTAAAGTATAGGCTAGATGAGGGGCCATCCATCCCCACTATAGTCTTTTCCTCTTTAGTGCTCATACCGCCTGCGATTTTTACCTCAATTTAAAATATATGTGATCAGTCTTCAAGTGCACGAAACTTATCCTTTCCAGTAAAGCCAGGGGCAACAGAAAACCTTTTTGGGTATTTCAGGAACCCGTTGAACTGGCCTGACTGCCACTTCTGTTAAAGTTCAACCTTAGTCCAGACTTAAATAGGCTCCTTCCACCACGCATTGGTGTCTCCTGCTTTTTGAGCAGAAAATTTAGGCAGAAAGGACTACCTGCGATTCTCTCTCTCTCTCTCTCTCTCTCCCCTCCCACCCTCTTTCTCTCCCTCCCTTTCTCTCCTCTTCCTCTTTCGCTCCACCCCTCCCATTTTCCCTCTCCCTCCCTCCTTTCCTCTCTCCCTCCCTCCTTCCCCATTTAGCCAGTTTACTTTTCATAATCAAAGGACGAGTTTTTACCCCGATTACTTTAATCCCTCTACGTACACCCAGAGCTATTTACAGCGTGGCACGGTCCCAGCCAATGTCAAGCGCACTCTGAGCGCTGCTATTCTTCAAGACCGTTCTAGCGCCTTCGACTTTACCATTATCCCGCCTGTTAAGGAAAGAAAAGGAGGCAGAACCGAAACAAACCGCACCAGGCGCCCAGGCGCGACTCTTCTTTATAGTCCTTACACAACCACAAAAGGCAGAAAAGCCCAGGCTTCTCACAGCAGGAAGACGAACCCTTCGCCCTCTCTGGGTCTCCTTTTCCCTCTCTCCCTTCCTCGCTCTCCGCTCCCCCACCACCACCACCCCGCCCACGAAATTAGGATGTGGGGTGGCCAGAGCTGGAGGTAGCGGGGGTGGGGGTAGGGGGGTGGGATGGGGACACCAGGCGCAGCTTGAGGGACGCCCGTCGTCGGAGCCCTAAGCGCCTCCTTTGGTTGGACTGGCGGGCTGGCTCAGGACTTGCCGGCCGCTCCCGGGAGTTGCTCCTTCCTAACGTCCGCAGGACGACTCCCGCCGGGCTTTCGGGAGCCGTCCCGGGTCGGCACGGTGGCCTTTCCTCCTTGGAGTTTTGCGGACTCTGGCGCGCAGCGCACCGAGCCCGCTTCCAGCAGTCGCGAGCGCGGACCCTACCCGTCGCGGGGAGCGTGCTTTTCTGCCCACCTCGCCTCTTCCTGGCCCCGGGCCCCGCTTGCCCTCTTTCCCTAGCTCCTGCTTCGCCTTCTTATCCCCCCACCCCCCAATTCCACTTTGCCTCTCTCGAACCGTCTCTACCTTTCTGTCCTCCCTCGACGTCTCCTCCGAACCTCGGCTTTCTCCCTTCCCCTCGCACCCAAGTGGAGTTCTGCCAAGCCATTCGCTCTGCCGCGAGGTTCCGCGGGCGGCCGCTGGCCGTGCCCGCCCCGTCCCGCCTCGCGTCCGCCGCCCGGCGCCCCGTGCCCCGCCCGGCCACCGGCCTCGCCCGCGAGCCGCGGAGCCGCCTGGCTGCCGTCTGGCCTCGCCCCGGAGTGCCGAAGGGAACGGCGAGCGCGGTCCCGGCCCCGCCGAGGCGGCAGGCGTCCTCCGGGCTGGCCAAGTTCTGCAGCCCGCGAAGAGTTGCGTTAGCCCCAGTGAAGGGAACCGGGGCCGCTGAGCAGGAGTAGAGAATTTCGTTAAAAAAAAAAAAAAAAAGTCCAAACACGAGGCGGCTGCGATCTCTGTTTGGATGCAATGACCCGCAAAGAAGCAAAACACAAGAAAACGGAAAAATAACTGCTACGGCTTCGTAGACCGTGCTCCCTCCTGCTTTCTTTCCACCGTCTGTTTACCTCTCTCCCTCTCCCTTCCTGTCTCCTATTGGGATCCGTTTGTTACCGGGTTCGGAAATTTTATTGAAAATAAAACATTAAAAAGCCCGAGTCTGTTACGAATGAGGCTTGAAAACCCAATTCCCTCTCACACTCAAAATGAGGAGAGCCCGTGGCTTTACGAGGATCTATTCTCTCTGACCGTCTGCCCAAAGTCAACAGCACCACATTCCCCATCGCAGCCTAAAAGGGGGGGGGGGGTTTGGAGGGCGAGGAAAAGAGAAAGAAAAATCAAAGAAAAAACAAAGATCTCCTAAATTAAAGTTGCCGGATCTCAACCTTAAAATCCTTGTTTTTTCAGAATATCGAAGTCTTCCCCCGAGTAATCTTTCTTAAAAGTTAAAGAAAGCTAAGAAAACCGACGGGAAAACTACAAGGAAATAGCTTTTTTTTTTAAAAAAAAAAATACATATTAGCTATATATCTGTTGGGGTGTCCAGAAGCTCAAAATCTGTATCTGCAAAGCTCATAGATGCATCTGGGGGTGTCGGCTCACCTCATAGATATCTTCGTACTTGACATTCTCCACGAGCTTCCAGAGCATGATGGCAGCCTGGTCTCTAGGAGGTGAGTGCATTCATGTGAGGAGCAGATGTGTGGCTTCTCAGGACTCCGCTGTCTGTAATGATCCATCTGTAATTGGAAATGGGGGATACACACCAAACCCGACGCTCCTCTCCCATCGCAACTTATATCTGTTGTCTCAAACAATAGGCTGCAGAAGTAAGCCTCAGCAGAGAGAAAAGCAACATTGCACACACAGGAGTCAGATGCAACCCACAGACATATATATTATAAAAATCATAAACACGCATTTACACCCAGACACCCACATGGAGTTACATAAGCACCCCTGGGTCACACAGAGTCTACAGACGGAAAACGTGCATTTAAGAGAGGGATAGCTGATCTGCGTGATGAATATAAACATATATATTTTAAAAATCCCTATATTGAAAATGATGAATCATTGTAGCCATCGTCTGTGTGATTCCTAAGAAGAAACCAGCTCCCTGTTTTCCATACAGATTTTAAAAGGAGGACCATTTCTGAGATTTTTAAACACAGGAGCTCCTATTCCCATGTTCAGACAGAAGATATTTTGAAACTGGATTTAGAGATTTTTAAGGATGATTACCCTGTATTAATGGTTATACAAATGGCTACACAACTTTTTTTTTTTTTTAACTTTATCTCTGTCACTGTAGAACAAAAAATGATAGCCCCCACAGTGCCCATCTCTCCTATTTTCTGGTCATTTTGCCCAACATGTTTGTAAACTTAAACACTGTGTCAGCACGTCCCTCTGTGCTGCTTGTTGTTTTCGGGTTGTTTGTGCATGTTTTCAACGGATTCCATGCACCATTCCTCTTGGCTGGAGTCTCCATTTTATGAAGTTTTTCTTCAGATGTTGGAAACAACATATGCACACATTCACACAATATTGAGCCTTCCTTGCAGACACTTGAAACATTTTATGTTTGCATCTGCTTTCTGCAACTTCTAAGTGGTTTTCAACAAAGACAGTGAAGAAATGGTCACCTGAGTCCTTGAGAAAGATTGAAGAAGAGCATTCTTCAAGGAATGAAAAATATTTTAAGATGCAGATTAGAGGTTTTTTTTAAGCATATTTTTTCTTAATAAGGTGATTTGTAGGGTTTTAAAGACAAACATTAAAAGAGAGCAAAGTTAATTAAACCTCCAAATTGGGCACTCTTTCAGGCACAGGGCTTCTGAATTTCATCACGGAGTGAATATTCACTTGTTCACTTTCCACCCCCGTTTCTCTACCCCCTTTCTGGGTGCGCTAGGGTCCCCAAAGCCAGCAGAGCAGCCCCAGAGAGGATTTTTGCCCCTGAGACACAAAATAAATGACAGGAAGGAGAGAGGCGGGAAGGGGCAATTTGGGGTGGAAGTTCTTCAACCTGATAAGACTGGGTCTGTAAAGGGCTGTTATCTTTAAATCCAAGACTGCTGTGCGCCGCCGCGTGCGACCCGGACAGACGCTCCTGGGGCAGAGGCTCCGGCCAAGCGCGGTGGACAGCGATTCGGTAGAAACTGAGCGGACACTTCTTTACACGGTGCACACTGAACAATTCTGCTGATTTTAAATTTAATTAATTTAATTTTTCTTATCGTAAGTCCAATGTAAGCTACGCAATGGTGCCTCAGAAGAAACTTCAGAAATAAACTCATTTACAGCTCTAATTTTTGTTTTGCATCTCCCTTCCTCCTTCTCACCTTCTTATCTCGGTTTTTTCTCCCCTTGCTCCCTGTCTTCCCTGCTTCCTTTTCTCCTTCTCCCCTCCCTTTCTCCCTCCTCCCCTCTCTCCCTGCCTTCTTTAAATATTAACACCTTAAATCGTACAGAATCTATACAGGTTTTTCACCAGGAGCCTCATCAGAGATTCTCCTGTGTCCTCCTGAGCTCGCTGGGCGATGGCAGGCATTGCTCCTAATCTTACAGCAGTGGGGACTTGTAACAGCGTCCACGTTTGCCCCCTTTCTAGAACTAAAATCAGCCCCAGATCAATACTTTGAAAGCTAAGTATAGATTTCAAATTTCTGATTCTCTAGACTCAGATTTATTAACGGAAAGAACTGTTTTTATCCCTTTCAAGTCACTAACTCTATTATGCTCATTAAGGATTTATTTGTTTATTTAAAGATCATCCTAACCCCCAAAAAAATGTATTTGGAAAAATTCTTATTATTTTCCTCTAAGTGATTTAAAAAGTTTTTCCATCTTTTTGGTATATCATTTATTAGTCTAGAATAAATAAACTCTAAGGTTTAACAAAGCAAAACAACCCAAGGGATTAATTGTATATTGAAAACTGTTTTAAAATATGTATCGTAACTATTTTAGTGTAACTATTCTATAGTATTGTGTATGTACAATTTCAAATTTTCCTATGTAATTTTATTCTGTACTAATATTAGGTATTTTTCAAGAGTAGAAATGTCCTTAAATGTTTGATTAAAATTTATTTAAATTTTTAGGAAAACTGAAAAATAACAAATATGATTTTGTTAGAAAAAAACCCTAAACCTAAAAAATATACACACATATGCACACGTATATGGAGTTGCTCCAAAACATATAACGATAATGAAAACCTTAGATAATTTTTCTACATGGGCGTTATTGGAAAAATCCTAGAAATTGCAAGGTAAACCGAATTTCACAGGGCTCCTTCCCTAGTCATTGGGCGGGCAACAGCGCCCTCTGTCGGGGTTTTGATAAAGCGAATCCTGAACGGCCGCTTAATTTCTTCGGTGAAGGTTCCTTTCGATCCCGAAAAGCCTGTTATTGCTAAGAGTATTTTAAAAGTTCAGTTCTTATTTTACCTATTAACTTTAGAAGTGCCTCATAAAATGCACAGTCGACCTCTATCTAGAAAAAAATTCGCCTCTTTTGAGCCGGTTCCTTTCCTTTTTATTTCGCATGAACACTCACATGACGTAGGGCAACTGCCTGTAAGAATTCTGTGAGTGACAACGCAAAGGCAAAACAAGCTCTGGATTTCCAAGGGAAGTAAGCTAGCAGAAAATGCATTTTCATCTTCATTTTGTCTTGCCTTACGCGGGTATTTCTTTTTGAGCGCACTCACACGCTCGCCCTAGCTTGAAAGCACTCCTGACATAGCCCAAACGGTTCGATTCGTTTTTTTCCCTTTGCACTTATAATAATTTCAGTTTATAATAGCCAAGAAGAGAGTTAATAATGCCTTCCTCTTTTCAGCATCAGATGGAGAGAGTCATCCAATCAACGCGGGACTCGATGACGAAAGGCAAACGCACCCGGCATGGAGCCCTCTGCTGGTGGTTCTCAGAATAGGTTAGGAGAGGCTGCTTTTTTTTTTTTTTAACCTAGAAACCTTTTATTTAAGGTGTACAAACTTCATGCATTTCATATATACAAATTTAGAAACAAAATGATTCTCCCCACCATAATCTCCTTCCCTCTTGCACTCCCACCTGTCTTCCTCTTCCCTCTCTTATTCCCACTCTTGTTTTTTTACAAAGATCTGTTTTCAATTAACTTTATGCTGCTGCTTTTTACAATGTGACAGAAAAACATCCTTACGTTAATTAAAAGTAAATTATTAACATTCTTATGTCTTCTTTCCTCTGTCTAAAATGTCCCCTTCCTCACTTCCGGTATTTCTCACTGTGACGCCTATGCTTGACGCCATCTCCGGGAGCTCTCTCTACAGGTGCCTGGCGGTCCAACTTTTCTTTTCCCAGTTCACAGTCTCTTTGGGATTCCCATTTCCACCTCACCAAAGCAAGCAAGCCAACAAACACGCAAACAAAAAGGTAATACAGTAGGGGGAGCCAGACTTTAAATTAGGATTTTTGTGTCAAGTTTGAGTCCTAATCCTTCTCATTCAAGGTGGTCAGGTAGCTATTTCATAGCTGGAATGCCCTGTACTGAGCTGTGAAATGGGACTGATTTGTACAATACTGGTGCCTTGTGAACACCTCTGAGTTAGGGGGTCATAAAGCGGAGGCAGGAACCCAAACTCTTATATACTCAGCACTTTTCCCACAGTCACATGATGCGCAATGTGCCGACCAAGGCAACCACTTGGGGGGTGAACCAACAGAAAGGAAGACCTTTCTCTCTGTCTCTGTCTCTCTCTCACTGTCTAACTCTGCCTGTCAAAAAAAAATTTTTTTTAGAAGAATGCTCTGTTATGTATCTTTTTTTTTTTTTTTTGACAAGCAGAGTGGACAGTGAGAGAGAGAGAGAGACGGAGAGAAAGGTCTTCCTTTTGCCGTTGGTTCACCCTCCAATGGCCGCCGCGGCCGGCACACCGCGCTGATCCGAAGCCAGGAGCCAGGTGCTTCCTCCTGGTCTCTCATGTGGGTGCAGGGCCCAAGGACCTGGGCCATCCTCCACTGCCTTCCCAGGCCACAGCAGAGAGCTGGACTGGAAGAGGAGCAACCGGGACAGGATCTGCTGCCCCAACCGGGACTAGAACCTGGGGTCCCGGCACTGCAGGCGGAGGATTAGCCTATTGAGCCGTGGCGCCGGCCTCTGTTATGTATCTTTAACATAATTTGGAAAAATTATTGTCAATGGGTGAAAGCATAATTCAAGCACTGCCTCAGTTCCACAGGGCTTTTTCCATAAGGGCTGCAGTGATTTAATGAGGAGAAAACAAGGTAGCAGGGGCTAGTGTTTGCACTAGAATGCTTTAAAAATTAAAGATGGGTGCAGTTATCTCTACATGGACTCTTTTTAAATAAATTATTTATGTATTTATTTGAGAGGTAGAGTTACAGGCAGAGAGAAGGAGAGACAGAGAGAGAGGTCTTCCAACTGCTGGTTCACTCCACAAATGGCCGCAACAGCCAGAGCTGGGCCCATTCAAAGCAAGAAGGCAGGAGCTTTCTCTGGGTCTCCCTTGTGGGTGCAGGGGCCCAAGCACTTGGGCCATCTTCTACTGCTTTCCAAGGCCATAGCAGAGAGCTGGATCAGAAGAGGAGCATCCAGGACACAAACCAGCACTCATATGGGATGCTGGTGCCACAGACAGAGGTTTAGCCTTCTATGCCACAGCACCAGCCCTTAGATGGACTCTTTTTATGTTTGCCACATTCTTTTTTTTTTTTATTTTTAACTTTATTTGAGAGGAAGACTGGCACACTCAGAGAAGGAGATCTTTCCTCTGCTCATTCTCTCCCCAGATGCATGCAGCAGCCAGAGGTTGGCCAGGCTGAAGCCAGGAGCCTGGAACTCAATCTGTCTCCCACATGGGTAGCAGGAGCCCAGGTACTTGAGACATCATCTGTTGTCTCCCAGGATGCCCCTCAGCAGGAA